ATGATCTCGGCTCACTGCAAGCTCCGCCTCCCGGGTTCATGCCATTCTCCTGCCTCAGCCTCCCGAGTAGCTGGGACTACAGGCGCCTGCCACCATGCCCGGGTAATTTTTGTATTAGAGATGGGGTTTCACCGTGTTAGCCAGGATGGTCTCAATCTCCTGACCTTATGATCCGCCTTCCTCAGCCTCCCAAAGTGCTGGGATTACAGGTGTGAGCCATTGCACCTGGCCTCAAGTGCTTTTTAAAAATATCTTTATCTTCTGTATTTTGCTCAGTGGGAACCAATGGCAATTACAAGCAAGATACTAAATTTGACTTACCTTTTAGAAATTTAAATTTCTTAAGAAGATCAGCACCTACAAAAGAGTCACAGAGGTACAAAAGGAGTCCACTGAAAAACACCCCTTCACAGTTGACATTGCTGGAGTGGGGTCTGGAGCTGATATAGCATATGGCCACCTGAAATCATCAAGCAGAAATAGCATGGGCATTTCAAGAGCAAGCAGAATATCTGCAGTTCAGCAGAATGAGTCAGTACCTTCCTTTTTATCTATTTCAGGATAAGGTAAAGGAGATGAGTTTTTTCCAATGTTAAATGGCTTGGTTAGTTAAGCTTTGCAGCCTCTTATGTAGCATGCCAAGTGTTAACCTGTTTAAAGCTTCTCTTATTTCTCATAATGAAGGACTATTAGGAGACAAATTAGTAGTAAGAAACAAGCCCTTCCATTTAAGAGTCTTTATAAAATTTAAAAAACTACTTTCCACAAAAAAGCATACTTAGGAAAGATTAAATGTTTGGATTGCCTTATTGGTGAGAATAAAAAATATTTTTGATCAGCTTTCCATTTAGATATACTTAAATTTTCAATTGGATAGAAGCTTAAGACAGTGCATGGGCTGGGTGCAGTGGCTCACGCCTGTAATCCCAGCACTTTGGGAGGCCAAGGTGGATGGATCATCTGAAGCCGGGAGATGGAGAGCAGCCCTGCCAACATGGCAAAATCCCGTCTATAGTAAAAATACAAAAAAAAATTAGCCAGGTGTGGTGGTGTGCACCTGTAATCCCAGCTACTCCAGAGGCTGAGGCAGGAGAATCGCTTGAACCCTGGAGGTGGAGGTTGCAGTAAGCGGAGATTGCACCATTGCACTCCAGCCAGGGTGACAAGAGTGAAACTCCATCTCAAAAAAAAAACAGTACATGAGTTTAAATTTTTGGTTCTATCTGGCTTCTGTGAACAGATGATAACTGCAAAAATTACAGGGAAGTAAGATGGTTGGGAGTTAAAACAGTGGAATGGCTAAATGCATGAGCCAGCGTGCTTGGGTTCAAATACTGGTTCCTCCATTTAGTAGCCATGGAACAATGAGCAGTCTCCTTCATTTCACTATACCTCAGTTTCCTCATCTATAGAGATAACAGTAGTACTTGTTTCATAGGATGCTTTCTGAATTAAATAACTTAGTATTCAGTAAATGTTAGCTGCTGTTAGTAGTAGTATTGAGATTATGGACTCTAGGATAGGGGAATTGGAATATCTGGATCAAACAGGTAACTTACATAAATACTGTAAAAGATGTTATTAGATCTCATGGGTGTGGGTTTTTTTTTTTTTTTTTTTTGAGATGGGGTCTCTGTCACTTAGGCTGTAGTGCAGTGGCACAAATCAGATCACTGCAACCTTGAACTCCTGGGGTCAAGTGATCTTCCCACCTCAGCCTTTTGAGTAGCTGGGACTACAGGCATGCACCATCACACCTGGCTAATTATTTTTATTTTTTGTAGCAACAGGGTGTTACCATGTTGTCTAGGCTGGTCTCGAACTCCTGGCCTTAAGTGATCCTCCTGCCTCAGCCTCCCGAAGTGCTGGGTTATAGCCATGAGCTTCGATGCCTGGCCTTTACATCTGATGGTTTTTAAGGTTCCTTCTGCTTCTAAATTCTATAATTCATTACCCAAGCGACAGTGTAGATTATTGAAACATAAAAATGGGAATGTAAAATGTTTACACTGTGAAATTTTAAAAATTAGTTTCCAAAATTGAATACAGTTGGACTTCAGTGTTAAAAGAGTATGTGTATGGACATGTGTGTTTTTTTCAATACATACAAAGAAAAAGCCCTGGAAGGAAATGTAGTACACCAAAATGTTCTTCTGGCAGGTGACTTTACTTTCTTATTTTAAAACATTTTTTACAAGGAGGATGTAGTACAGTAATAATTTCTAAAGGGACAGCTTAGTAGCAGGAGCCTGGTGGTGCAAGTGGCAGTTTAAAAAAAAAAAAAAAAAAACTAAAACGTGAAAAGTTTTAGAAGTCCAAGGCGTGGGAAGTGGAGAAATGCCACCTCTAAAGGCTTCAGGTGGTACACATTTATTGGTTCAGTAATCACTGAGCTCCTCTTACATATGTCTAAAACAATGACTGAGACATTGTGTGTCTTTGAAGAACTCGCACTTTTATGAAGAAAAACCCACATAATTACAGTATAATCTGATGAATGTTAACAGAAGTGGGAGCAAGCAACTGCTGCCCGAAGCCACTAAGGTAGGCTTCTCAGAGGAGCTGACAGCTGAGTTGTATATTCTCTGGCTCATTTGTGGAGATAAAATAGGCATGGGGAGGGCCAACTGCCATTGCATGTTGTGTGAGCCTTTGCATAAGTGAGTATGCAAAAGGGTAGAAATACAAGTTTTGATCTGTATTACTATCTTATTTTAATAAAAGTTCTGGCAAAGGACCAGACTGGCATCTTGATTTATATTTCATGTCACAGGCTTTTTTGTAAACAGCTAAAATGAGAAAGAAATGGATGGATGTAGGTAAGTACAGTATCCCCCACACCCCTTTTACCTCTGGTCCAATGTTAAGGTAGCAGTCAATGGCCAGCACGGGACTCCTGAAGTTATGGATGGCTTTGGGGAAGAGTTTATATGAGGCGTGCTGAAGGAATTTCTCCAGGAGAAACTGTGCAGGGGCTGCCAGTAGCGTGTGTTCACTGTCGGGAGCGCAGATGTATTGAAGGGGCAAGATGGGTGCTAAGCTCTCTGACACCTGAAATCAGAGCCAAGATGATCATGGGAAACTTGCCTGTCACTGGATTAAACAGGTGAGGAAACACTGAATTGTATCCTAACAGTCCCCAAATAATAGCAGTAGCACAGTGAGGGGTGCTAGGTTCAAATGTATGTCAGTAAAGGGTCCTGAGAATTTTTTTCTCTTGGATTTAATGTAAGTTACACACAGCGAGGGCAGAAGAAAGCAGGCTTCTCTAAAAGTTATCACATTTAACAGGTACATTGTGAGATCAATCGGAAGCCTTTTACAGTGGTGCTCGGTGTGTATGGGTTAAATCCTGTCTCATCCTAACTCCACCCCACAACCCCACCAAAAAAATGGCAAAGAGGTTTCTAAGCTCCACTGGTAGCCCCATGCTATGAATTATTAGATATCAGTAAATTTCTTAGAAAAGAGTATAGTTTTGATCTATATTACTGTCTTTTAAGAAAGTTCTAGCAAAGGACCAGACTGGCATCTTGATTTATATTTCTCTCATGTATTACATAAAGAATGTAAAAGTGTGGCGGGGTGTGGTGGCTGAGGCAGGAGAATCGCTTGAACCCGGGAGGCAGAGGTTGCAGCAAGCTGGGATCACGCCAGTGCAGTCCAGCCTGGGCGACAGAGTGAGACTCTGTCTCAGGAAAAAAAAAAAGGCAAAAATGTTAAGTTTGCCATCTTGAAACTAAAGCTTTGAAGGATGTGTTAAGGCTTAAATCCAAAGAAACTTAGATTTAAGGCCAACATTTAAAGTAATTTTGTTGGATTGTCAAAACAAATGTTTTGGCTCTAGATGAGTCTCCAGTAACAGAAATGAGATTGAAAATTTGACATTAAGAACTCCCTAATGGCCGGATGTGGTGGCTCATGCCTGTAATCCCAGCACTTTGGGAGGCCAAGGTGGGCAGATCACTTGAGGTCAGGAGTTCCAGACCAGCCTGGCCAACATGGTGTAACCCCGTCTCTACTAAAAATACAAAAATTAGCCAGGCATGGTATCACGGACCTCTAATCTCAGCTACTCGGGAGGCTGCGGTATGAGAATTGCTTGATCCCGGGAGGCAGAGGTTGCAGTGAGCCGAGATCACGCCACTGCTCTCCATCCAGCCTAGGGAACAGACTGTCTCCAAAAAAAAAACAGCAACAACAACAACAAAAAAAACTCCCTTGTGTTATTTCACTTTTCCAATAAAACGGAAAGTGCTTAATGCCAACATTTAATAACAAAGATAGTCATTATCATTGTGCTTATTTTCAGCACTTGAATCAAGCTTGCAGTACTTACCATGATCTTTGGTTTAATGATAAAGTCCCTTTGCCCTCCAACCTGAACATGTTTCTTCATGAGACTGAAGTTATTAAAGCGGCAGATGAGCAGGCCACTACTGTTAGTTCTCAGATTAAAGTCAACATCTTCACAGAAATACCTAAATTGTAACCACAACAATAGTTTTCTTCAGCTGGCATATCTCAACCGTGATAACTATACACGGCGAAATAAACATGTGGCAAGATATTAGGAGCCTAAAATAATCAACCGTGCTTTTGTGGAGCTGGCCCTCATAATACTGACCTGGAAAAACTCTGATTTGGGCATTACAGCCTTTAAAAGGGGAAAGTGAGATGATCTTTGTCCCAGCTATGTCACAGGTTTTAGGTATCCCTATGCAAAAACAGGACTGTGTTCCTATTTGATACACTCTGGCAGAACAGGAATGCAGAGGTGCTCCCAGTTTTAAATTTCTGGCTACAAACAGGATGAAGCCTCTGTCCAATTTAAAACAGAAGTGAAAGCAGCAGCTATTCTATAACCGTGAGGTTGGCATAAGAAGGACTTTATGGTTCCTGCTTTCTTGTTTGGCTCTCAGGTTTTGTAGGAACCTGGACATAATTTATTTGGGAGGCAAGGCCATGGCTACCCTGCTCATCCCCATCTGCTGCCTTTTCCCTACAGTAGGATTTCCCTGAAGCCTACTAACATTCAGGAAAAGTGATTTCCTTCTGAGTTTGGATGGTGAAGGAGGGCTTAGTCTTAGATGTTTGCGGGTGCACACACTGACTTGAGCCAATAGTTTCTGAGTTCTTGTTGAATAAGGAGACGGCTAAAGTGTTTAAGCATTTGACGTTGTAACCCCTGTTAAGATCTAGGTCAGGCTGGGCGCGGTGGCTCAAGCCTGTAATCCCAGCACTTTGGGAGGCCGAGATAGGCGGATCATGAGGTCAGGAGATCGAGACCATCCTGGCTAACACGGTGAAACCCCGTCTCTACTAAAAATACAAAAAACTAGCCGGGCGAGGTGGCGGGCGCCTGTAGTCCCAGCTACTCGGGAGGCTGAGGCAGGAGAATGGCGCAAACCCGGGAGGCGGAGCTTGCAGTGAGCTGAGATCCGGCCACTGCACTCCAGCCCGGGCTACAGAGCAAGACTCCGTCAAAAAAAAAAAAAAAAAAAAAGATCTAGGTCAGTTTGGTGTTAAAGGGGCACACTTTGGGGCTTGTGATCCCCCTTTCTCCTTGCCCACATAAAGAGTCAGCTTCTCAACTGAAGACATAGGAATAAAAGCATTACAGAGGCTAGAGCTGGGCAGAAGCCATCAGTAGATGCCAGGATTACCCGTATCCATAAGGCCTGACTTACCTGTTGAAGTCATACTGCACATTCTGAGTCAAGTCTATGTTGAGGAGAATGAAATCATGCACGTGACACCTAGAGAATGGGGCCTTTAGGCTCTGAGAAGTCAGCTTGCTGCTCCATTTCTGTATGCCCAAGATTGCATAGTGGACAATTTTTGGTGTGGCTTCAATGTGCTGTAAGACAGTCTTCAAGGAAACATTCTTACTGGAAACTGCTACTTCCACAGGCTGGCTGTGAAATATAGTTTATATAAGATGTTGATAAATATTATGGAAGACAGGATCATTTGTGAACTGTCTATACACTATTATACACCAGTGATACTCTCAAGGATAAAATTAACTGATTTACTTTGTATTAGCAAATGGAGAAGAATGTCAAGCCCAGTTTTCACACTACCTGTCACTATTAAAGAAACTGCCTTTTGGGGTGGGGCTTATCACTTTTGGGCAGAGAAAAATCCAGCCCCTGTGTCAGAGTGAACAATGAATAAAGAGTTGCCAAAGAAGAGGTAGCTGGAGGTTGGAAGCATAGAGGTATCCTTCCCAGTTCTGGTAATTGTATATAATAAGGAATATTTGAAAATTTCACTGGCTTCAAATCCAAAATAGGATCAAGGACACAAAATCACAATGTTTGAGCTGGGAGGGGCTTAAAGGTCACCTGGCACAGTGTTGCAATGGGAGTGCTATTGAATTTTGGGGGTTTATTGTGTTGGACTTTTCAAAATGTTTGGCATCCTCTGGTCCTCACAGATGCCCCTGACCGGCACCCACTAGCAATGTGAGGGGGCACTACCCCAGGAAGAAAACCACTGATTTTGGCCCAGGCATAATTTTACAGGTGATGGACTTGAGATACGGAGAGGTGAGATGACTTTCCCTTTTCATAGACAGTCAAGAAGCATGACTGGGTGTGGTGGCTCATGCCCGTAATCCCAACATTTTGGGAGGCTGAGGTGGGAGGATTGCTTGAGCCCAAGAGTTCAACACCAGACTGGGCAACATCTCTACAAAAAATTACAAACAAAAAACAGAGTTGGGGCTAAAAACTAGGTCTCCTGATTTGAGATGTCGGCAGTCTTTCTACATCAATCCTAGTGTCTCAACAGACTTTTTTGAGACAGAGTCTTGCACTGTCACCCAGGCTGGAGTGTAGTGGCACAATCTCAGCTCACTGCAACCTCTGTCTCTTGGGTTCAAGTGATTCTTCTGCCTCAGCCTCCCGAGTAGCTGGGACTAAAGGCATGCACCATCACGCTCAGCTAATTTTTGTGTTTTTAGTAGAGACGGGGTTTCGCCATGTTGGCCAGGCTGGTCTAGAACTCCTGGCCTTAAACGATCAGCCCGCCTTGGCCTCTCAAAATGCTGGGATTACAGGCATGAGCCACCGTGCCTGGCCTCGGTAGACTTTAATAGCTAACCAATGTTGTGATCCCAGAATGATCCAGGAATTTAATGGGCTACTGAATGTCTAAATAAAAAAGTCCTAAGTCACCACAAAATGTTCTAGTGAGGGTGATCTCATGGTCGGCTGTTTTGCTCTAGAAAGCTGTCTCTCACTTACTTCCGTATGTAACTGTGGTCAAGAAATGTATTATCCTGTCTACAGCATTGTGTCATATGCCCCCAGAACAGCTTGGAAGTCTACCTGGATGGCTCCTGAACACTGTGAATGTTCCATAGGACACATGAGTCATCCATCATGACGATGAAAGGCCAGACACACTGGCGTTTAATGCCTAGCTCCTCCAGGCGGTTTCTCTCCAATTCTAGGTTGTGATATGATAGCTCCTTAATGAGGAACCTGGCAGCACCTGGAAGGCAACATAACCACATCTACATATCCACACATCCTTCACTCTGGGTTGGCTGAAGCCCCACAGGCAGCTATATTCTCTCCACAGAATGCCTGTTCACATGAGAACCATGCAGGTGGGAGCCAACCAAATGTTCAGAGCATTGGCTCTCAAACCAGTGTATATAAGAGTTACTGGGGAATCAGTTTTAAATGTAGATTCTTAGAGTCCATTACCAGGGCTGCATTTGAGTAGGTATGGTGAAGGGCTAGAAACCAGATATCTTTGAGGATGCAAATGATATGAACCACACTCTGAGAGTACTGCAAGAATCCAGTTTCCCTCATAGGACAAAGGAATCCACATCTAGGAAATGCTATTATTGTTTACTTCCTTGAAGCATGCCAAGAGGCTCTCTCAGACTTGGAAGCAGCTACTCACATGTCCTGTACTAGGGAGTTAACTGGGCTGCAGTGAGTGGGTATGCCAATTCCATTGATATGTCACCTTCTTTAGACACTTCAAGGAAAATGACAGCAGCATCTTCTCTGAAGACTCTGGAAACTGGTACCCTTTCCCTAGATCTGCCTTTTGCAAGAGGCAATATGGTATAGAGATTAAGAGAATAGACAGGAGCCAAACTGTCCGATTTTGAATCCTAATTCCACCACTTTCTAGCCATGTGATCCTGAACAAATTAAACCCCTTGTGCCTTGGCTTCCCCACCTCTAAGAAGGCAATAATAACGGTGATCTCATAGGGTTGCTGTATGATGCTCAGGATAGCGCCTAGCACCCTCTAAGTACTCGGTGAATGTTAGCGATTATCGAGATGATAGAAATCAGCCAAATTTTATGAGTGGGCCATCCTAAAATGAAACAAAATGTAGGTGATAAATGAAAGAAAAGCTATTAACTCTATGGAAGAACCCAAAGCACTGTGAATAGATCTAGGGTAAAACTGGGATTTAGGAAAATCTACCTTCCAAAAACGTGTGTGTAATAGTTTGCATTCTCAACATAATAAGGTCCATGTATGAAAAGCCCACAGCTAACATCATCACTAGTCAATGGTGAAAGACTGAAAGCTTTTCCAAAACTGAGATCAGGAACAAGACAAGGATGCCACTTTTACCATTTCTATTTAACATAATACTGGAAGTCACGGCCAGACAAAGTAATCAAGAAAAAAAATAAAAGGCAACCAAATAGGAAGTAAAATTACCTCCATTCCCAGGCAACATATACATAGAAAACTCAAAATTCCACCAAAAATCCCCTTTAGAATGAATATGTGAATCTAGCAAAGATGCAGATGCAAAATCAACACCAAAATCAGTTGCATTTCTATACCTCAACCATGAACAATCTAAAGGAAATTAAGAGTTCCATTTACAATAGCATCAAAAAGAATTAAAGACTTAGAAATCAGCTTAACTAAGGAGGCAAAAGACTTGTACAGTGAAAAGTACAAAGCATTGTTGAAGGAAATTAAGGAAGACACCAATAAATGGAAAGACATCCTGTGTTTATGGATTAGAAGACTTGATATTAGATGTCAGTGCTACCCAAAGTGATCCACAGCCTTAATGCAGTCCCTATCAAAATCCCAAAGACTTTGCAGAAATAGAAAAACCCATCCTGCAATTCATCCAGTGTCTCAAGGGACCCCAAATAGCCAAAATAATCTTGAAAGAGAGGCAAAGGCAGAGTTAGAGATCTCACACTTCCTGATTTCAGAACTTACTACAAAGCTATAGTAATCAAAACAGTGTGGTAGTTTTGATCTGGGCATACAGAAAGCCCAGAAATAAACCCTCTCATACATGTGGTCAAATGATTTTTTACAAGGGAGCCAAACCCATTCAGTGGGTAAAAGATGGTCTTGTCAACAAACACAGTTGGGGGCCGGGCATCATGTCTCACACCTGTAATCTCAGCATTTTTGGGAGGCTGAGGTAGGAGGATTACTTGAGGCCAGTGGTTTGAGAGCAGCCTGAGCAACATAGTGAGACCCGTGTCTCTACAAAAAATTTAAAAATTAGCCAGGCATGGTGGCATATGCCTATAGTCCTAGCCACTCAGGAGGCTGAGGTGGGAGGATTGCTTGAGCTCAGAACTTGGAGGCTACAGTGAGCTATGGTCGTGCCACTGCACACTTTGGCCTGGGTGACAGAGCAAGACCCTGTCTTTAAAAAAAAAAAAAAAAAGTGCTGGGAAAACCTCATAGTCACATGCAAAAGAATGAAGTTGAATCCTTACCTTAGACCCTACATAAAAATTAACTCAAAATGGATCAAAGACCTAGACATAAAAGCTAGAACTATACATCATTGAGAAGAAAACATAGGGGAAGGCCTTGTGACATTGAATTTGGCAGTGATCTCTTACATATGATATCAAAAACAAAAGCTAAGAAAAAATAGACAAACTGGACTTCATCAAATAATAGAGTAAAAGGCAATCCATGGAATGGGAGAAATTTTTTTTTTTTTTTGAGACGGAGTTTCGCTCTTGTTGCCCAGGCTGGAGTGCAGCAGTGTGATCTCAGCTCACGGCAACCTCCACCTCCCTGGTTCAAGTGATTCTCCTGCCTCAGCCTCCTGAGTAGCTGGGATTACAGGCAAGCACCACCATGCCAGGCTAATTTTGTATTTTTAGTAGAGACGGGGTTTCTCCATGTTGGTCACACTGGTCTTGAACTCCCGATCTCAGATGATCTGCCCGCCTTGGCCTCCCAAAGTGCTTGGATTACAGGTGTGAGCCGCTGCACCCGGCTGGGAGAAAATCTTTATAAAGAGTATATCTGATAAGGTGTTAATACCCAGAATATATTTTTTAAAAACTGCTACAATTCAACAACAACAAAATAATTCAGTTGAAAAATCAACAAAGGACTTTGGAGACAAGTCTTCAAGGAAGATACACAGATGGCTAACAAGCACACAAAAAGATGTTCAATATTACTAATCATTAGGGGAATGCAAAACAAAATCACAATGCAAAACACCTAAAAAAAAAAAAAAGTGTTGGTGAGGATGTGAAGAAATTAGAATCCCTGTGCACTGTTGGTGGGAAGGTAAAATGGTGCAAGCCACTATGGAAAACAGTATGGTGATTCTTCAGAAAGTTAAAAATAGAATTACCAGATGATCTAGCAATCTCAGTTCTAGATATATACCTAGAAGAAGTGAAAGAAGGGTCTCAGATATTTGTCTACCTGTGTTCATAAAAGCCTGATGCACAATAGCCATAAGGTGGGAGCAGCCCAAGTGTCCACTGACAGATGAATGGATAAAACGGAGTAGATACATAAAATGGAATATTATCCAGCCTTTAAGAAGGAAGGGAATTCTAACACATGGTACAACATGGATGAACCTTGAGGACATGCTAAGTGAGATAAGCCAGTCAGTCACTAAAGGACAGATACTGTATCATTCTACTTAAAGAAAGCAGAATGGTGGCTGCCAGGCACTGAGGGGAGGGGAGGGAATGGGGAGTTTGTTTCACAAGGTGAAAAGAGTTCTAGCAATCAGTCTTACAACAATGTGAATGTTGTAAGACTGTTGTAATAATTCTTATTACAATAAGAATGTTGTAATCTGACCTTTAATACTTTAGAAGTATTAAGGCAGTACGTGGTTTTTTTTTTTTTGTTTGTTTGTTTTGAGACAGAGTTTCACTCTTGTTGCTCAGGCCGGAGTTCAATGGCATGTTCTTGGCTCACTGCTGCCACCACCTCCTGGGTTCAAGTGATTCTCCTGCCTCAGACTCCTGAGTAGCTGGGATTACAGGCGCACACCACCACGCCCAGCTAATTTTTTTTTTTTGTATTTTTAGTAGAGATGGGGTTTCACCATGTTGGCCAGGCTGGTCTCAAGCTCCTGACCTCAGGTGATCCATCCACCTCGGCCTCCCAAAGTGCTGGGATTACAGGCATAAGCTACTGCACCCGGCCAAGGCAGTAAATTTTATGTTATGTGATTTTTACCAAAAATAAAAATAATAGTTTGTATCTTTCATTTGCATATGTGTGTTGGCTTCTTTCTCCCCAAATTATTGCAAAAATGGCAAAACTAGTACTATACAGTTTGGTCAGATCTAGGATGAGAAAACTTTCTCCTAAGGATCAGGCAGGCACAGAAGGAGGTCATATTCATATAGAAAAAGGCTTCAGTGCCAGGCACAGTGGCTCACGCCTGTAATCCCAGCACTTTGGGAGGTCGAGGCGGGTGGATCACGAGTTCAGGAGATCGAGACCATGCTGGCTAACACTGTGAAACCCCATCTCTACTAAAAATACAAAAAAATTAGCCGGGCATGGTGGTGGGCGCCTGTAGTCCCAGCTACTGGGGAGGCTGAGGCAGGAGAATGGCGTGAACCCCGGAAGGGGAGCTTGCAGTGAGCCGAGATCGCGCCACCACACTCCAGCCTGGGCGACAGAGCAGACTCCGTGTCAAAAAAAAAAAAAAAGAAAAAGGCTTCGGTTAGTATGAGTTAAGTGGTTTTGGGGAGGCTGAAGGAACAGAAATATACAGAAGCCTTAATTCACTTGATATAAAGTGACACAATTATATTCAAAACAAAACCATTTTTGAAAATATATTAAGCCCATATTAAGGCTGTTTGAAGTCAAAGAACATGAAAAGGCATAGAAAGGAACAAGAAATGGAGAGACCTAAGAAGGAAGGGAGAGGCAGAGGCTAAGTTGGGAGACAGTGGAGAAAGAGGAGACCCTGGAGAGAAGAAACATGTGGGTTCAAGAAAACTACTCCGGTCTTATCTGCCCTTCAGTCCAGCTCTAGGCTGGGTGTTACTACTACTCTTCAAAATGGGAACAAGCAGCTCCTGACTTGGCAGTGAGGCACCCCACAGGAGCAGATGGGAAAAACTGTTTAGAACTACAGTGCAAGAAGTGTCCAGAAGAGCACAGCTCTAAAACACTGGATTCGGTTAGAGATGTCCTGCCTGAGAAAGGAAAATGAAGGCGTTCTCACATCTCCAGTCGCCACAGCTCTGTCATACACACAAGCACTGGCCCCCTTTGAGAAATCAGCGCATTGCTGTTAAACCCCGGGGGAAAGCAGGAAGACTTCTTTCAGGCACATTCCTGTGTCATAGGCAGTAACGGTGCTTCCAGCTCCCTGGTTGTACAGCAGTCCCCTAGAACTTGCTACATGCCTTAAAGATGAGATGACCTAGGGGCCCCTCCTGATCTGGGTGAACCACTAACCCTGCCTCTCCCTTAGACCATCTTTTTTCTCATGGTTACATTTCTGCTCCACAGTGCTCAGCTCAGAACATTTGCAGCCTATACAGGGAAGAATCCCAAACCTTCCCAGGGTGCTCCGTATACCAGTGACTTCTTCCTTAATTACCAGTCCTGAGTTAATTCTGCAAAACTGCAGATAAGGGGAAAAAGAAAACTCAAATTCAAGGAAGAGTCAAAAGACTATTTTTTTCAAAGAGGTGAGGAGGGCAGGACAATTTCTAGAGGCAGGGGAATCTGAGGCTTTCATGCCAGGGGAATGGAGCTCAGTTTATCTTCGAAGCCCTTCTCCCCATCCCGGGGGGGCCCCTTACCCACGCCTGCATTATTGAACATGCCGGGAAGCACCAGCATGATGTGGTTGGGCCAGTACTTGCGGTACAGAGGCATCTCATACTCTTTGACCACGAGGAGGTGAAGGTGGCTGATGCCCTCCATGGCGTGGAAGAGGTTTAGGAGTCCGTGCTCATGTCGACCACTGGAAGGAGTGAAAATAGGGCTCTTGACTGCATTCAAATTCTGCCGAAAGGGAAGAAAACAGATGACATTAAAGCCTCTAGATTGAGGACACTTAGAGAACTAGGTCTGGTGCCTGGCAGTCCAGATGCTCTCACCCACCTTGTCTGAAACCAAGGGCAGCCGCATGCTCTCCAGGTGCTTGCCCTGCTTGCTGAAGACAAAATGACTCTCTTTGGATTTGGGAATGATGAAATAGAGCTGAACCTCTTCTCCCAGCATAGAGGAAGAGAATGTGAAGGCATGAAGGGTGGAGTCAGACATCTACGTTTGCAAAGAAGAAAGGGAGGGAATGTAAGTAAGCCCACCGTTTCCAAACTTCCAGGCCACTCCTTCAGGTTGTTACTAAGAGAGGGAAACTAACATAAACTGGTAAGTGCCACCAGACCAGGCTGTGAGCAGCCATATCTAAAAGGTTGATAAGGCAAACACTTCATTTAGGAGCTGCCACTGACATGGCAGCCCGCCATCTTGCACCTGCACAGCCTCAGTGGGAGAAGTACTTGTTGCCTGGCACTGCATTCTTTATGCTGTCAGAGCCACAACTGCTCCATCTTATGCAGAGGTCAGATATACCTGTGGGATGTCCTGCTCTGTATGCATTCCCAAAGGTCCCCTGTTAATCGGAGGGAAACACTTCTATTCTCTGCGGGTCAGGTCAAATGAGTATCAGCTTTCTAAATATCAGGTTTGACATTAAAATGCCTCTCCAGCCCCATCTTTCCTGGCTACAGTGGATGCTGAAGAGGTTCAATCATTTAGCCCAGAACTCTGGTTTCAGAAAAGAAGGATCATTTGACTCACTGAAGCCAAATATAAATCTAACCTACATTTAAAGTGCTGGAGAGTTCATGTTTTTTCAGTAACCTGTCTCAGTGAATAATTATGTAATAGGTCTTTTCACGCTTTTAATGTGGATAAGATTTGGCTTAATAAAAGGATACCATCAATTTTCATCAGCAACTAGAATCGAAGTAGGTTTCCCAATGGTTTTAACCGAAATACTATATTTCATAGAAAAATAACATTACACTTCTTCCCTTAATTCTAGTTCTGCCTCAGAAATGTGGGAATATACTACTTAGTACGGTCGTCACACAAACTTTATGAATAGAGGGTTTCTAATAAAGAGATTTTCTAAAAACCTATAATCTAGACCAGGGGACTTGGGTCTTCCATAAAGCTTTTAAGAGCTTATTTCAAAGCAGCCCACCAAAAGTTTTCAGTAACACCAAGAAAACAAATGGGATATAAAAGGTAACTTGTATTAGAAGGGCAGAATGATTCGATCGGTTTTTTAAAGCATATCCCTTCTAGTACTCATTTGTATTTCAGGATGAGATGTGGGAAAAGGGTGACAAGCTGGCCCTGAAGAGCAGAAACAGGTTTAGGGGAGTCAGTATGGCCTACCAGAAGCAGGAGTCGTTTCTGTGTGTTCAGAGCCAAGTCACAAAAATAAAGATGGATTGGGGGAAGTAAGCTCTGGATATTACTATCATATGTTGCCTTTCCATCTTTTGTGCTTAAAGATGCACTAGCCAAAAAGAAGCCACATACTAAGGGTCATTGGCCCGTGTTCTACATTCCTATGTCTCAGTTCTCACTGCATAAAACAAACCGACTCCACTGGCCAGGCCACCCCACACAGGTGTGAATATGACTAGGTTGGTGCAAATCAACAGACCTATTAGAATCACAGCTCAAAGGGCACACCCTGTGGATTTGAGATAATACTGCCATTTTAGTCAGTGATCCAGAGGGAAGAGGGGGGAACTCTTATCAAATATACTGTAATACCTGGATTGCAAAGAAACATCTCAGCTACTTCCTAACCTAAACATGACACATGTAACCATTTGAAGAAGTAATTCAAGATACTAAAACTAAGCTGCCTCCTCTCCCTCCCACAATCCAAAGAAACCCAACATTCATTTAATTATTGCTTCATGCATTGTTTGTTTGTTTGTTTGTTTATTTGTTTTTGAGACGAGTCTCAGTCTGTCATCCAGGTTGGAGTGCAGTGGTGAGATCTCGGCTCACTGCAGCCTCCACCTTCTAGGTTCAAGTGATTCTCCTGCCTCAGCCTCCCAAGTAGCTGGGATTACAGGCGTGTGCCACCACACCTGGCTAACTTTTTGTATTTTTAGTAGAGACGGGGTTTCACCGTGTTGGCCAGGATGGTCACGAACTTCTGACCTCAGGTGATCCACCCACCTTGGCCTCCCAGTGCTGGGATTACGGGGTGAGCCACCACGCCCAGCCTTTATACATTTTTCTCACCAATGAGTGGCTCCTTCGTATGAGTAAACTATGCTTTGCCTGAGGCCTGAAACTAGGGGCCCTATTTTTCATCCCTCCAGCCCCCACCCTTACATACAAAATCCATAGTGGGTGACAGAGGGCGAGGGCGAGGGCGAAGGCGGGACGGTACCTGGGAGGCAGAGGTGAAGTCCATGTACTGGCGGCACTGTTCACAGTGGTGAAAGGTGTTATAGGCTGCATATTTGGTCAGCATTATGGACACAGTTTCCCGTTTCCTGGGCTCTTCAACTTTGGATTCCTTTATCACTTCTGTGTATAAAGGGGCAAAAAGCCATCCCATGAGATAACATGTTTTCCCTATGCCTGGAAAGAAAAGTCCCCTTTTCCCCAAAATGACTTTTCCATGTATTCTGTAATTTATGCCCTAAGAAACAGATATGAAAAATTTAAAAAATGATGTGCATAAGAGTGAAAGAAAAGCGAGATGGAGTTAGTGTCCCCTTGACCTGGAAAGGAGGTGAACTTGGCTGATTGCACTGACCTTGTTTGACCCCTGCCAGCTTCTCAGTATACACCAGGCTCATCAAAGTGTACTTGGGGTCATGCACACTGACATCAAAAGGCATTTTACTGAAGCTCTCGATGTCAGGCCAGGGCTCTCCCTCTGACTGGCTCACTTCACTGCTTTCACTGTGATCTAGGACAAGAAGGAAGTGTGCAGAGCAGGTGACTGGCCTTCCTCTTCCACGTGTGTCAGAGAGAATGGCTTTTATGGGACGTACAGCCCAGATGGGTGGACAAAGGCATTTCTGAAAAATGAGCTCCCCTATCCCAGTAGAGGAGGCAGAATTGTTCACACCCGTGCTGACAGGAACATTTGCCCTCACTGGCCCCCAGCATTCGTCTCTGCAGACCCAATTCACAAACTCTGGCATCTGTAAGATAACCTAGTCTCCACCAGGCCAAATTTCCTTAAAAGTTTCATTTTGGATGATCTTATTTCTGTCTTGAGATTTTTAGCTGTGGGGTATTAATATACTGACACCCAAGAGATTTCAGGATGCACTGAGCAAAATTCCCAGTGTCTTCCGCACATTAGAATCAGCTGAGGAGCTGGTGAAAATTCCCACACTCAGGCCACACATCCCAGAAATAGTTCAGTCAGAATGTCTGATGCCTAGAAACTAGTCATATTGTTTAAGGCTCCTCAGAGTGTTCCAATATGCAGTCACAGCTGACAGCCAGTAGACCTGGGTGTGATTCCTGGCCCTGCCCCCTGACAATGTCACACCTTCAGGCACTGTACTTAACCCTGACTCCCCAGATTACTGTAAGCTTTAATGCAGCCTCAACCACCTGGGATCAAATGATCCTCCCACCTCAGCCTCTTGAGTAGCTGGGACTACAGGCACGTGTCACCATGCCCAGCTAACGTTTTTGTAGAGACAGGGTCTTACTGTATTGTCTAGGCTGGTCTTAAACTGCTGGGCTCAAGCAAGCCTCCTGCCTCAGCCTCCCAAAGTGCTGGGATTGCAGGTGTGAGCCACCATACCAGACCCTTTTCTTTTCTTTTCTTTTTTTTGGGAGACAGGGTCTCACTCTGTCACTCAGGCTAGAATGCAGTGACGCAATTTAAGCTCACTGCAACCTTGAATTCCTGGGCTCAAGGAATCCTCCCACTGCAGCTTCCGGAGTAGCTAGGATTGCAGGTGTGTACCATCACACTTGGGTAGAGTTTTAAATTTTTTTGTGAGAGATGGGGTCTCTCTGCTGCCCAGGCTGATCTCAAACTTCTGGCCTCGAGCCATCCTCCCACCTTGGCCTCCCAAAGCATAGAGATTACAGGTGTGAGTCACCCTGCCCAGCCAGAGATGGTACATTTAAAGTGCCAAGACAGGCTGGACATGGTGGCTCACGCCTGTAATCCCAGAACTTTGAGAGGCCGAGGCAGGCAAATCATTTGAGGTCAGGAATTCGAGACCAGCCTGGCCAACATGGTGGAACCCCGTGTCTACCAAAAATACCAAAATTGGCTGGGCGTAGTGGCACGTGCCTATAATCCCAGCTACTTGGGAGGCTGAGGCAGGAGAATCACTTGAACCCCAGAGGTGGAGGTTGCAGTGAGTTGAGATCGTGCCACTGCACTCCAGCCTGGGTGACAGAGTAAGAGTCTATCTCAAAAAATAAATAAATAAATAAAATAAAGGGCTTTGACAGTTGCAGGCACACAGGTGGTGTCTAATAGATATTTTTTTTTTTATTGGCCAGGTGCAGTGGCTCACACCTGTAATCCCAGTACTTTAGGAGGCCGAGACAAGTGGATCACCTAAGGCTAGGAGTTCGAGACCAGTCTGGCCAAAGTGGTGAAACCCTGTCTCTACTAAAAATACAAAAAATTAGCTGGGCCTGGTGGTGCACGCCTTTAATCCCAGCTACTTGGGAGGCTGAGGCAGGAGAATTGCCTGAACCCAAGAAGCAGAGGTTGCAGTGAGCCGAGATCATGCCAGTGCACTCCAGCCTGGGTGACAAAGCGAGACTCCATCTCAATAATAATAATAATAAAGTGCCAAGACAGTTGCAGGCACACAGCTGGTGTCTAACATTACATACACATACACACACACACACACACACACATATATATATATATTTTTTAGATGGAGTCTTGCTCTGTCACCCAGGCTGGAGTGCGGTGGCACAATCTTGGCTCACTGCAAGCTCCACCTCCTGGGTTCACGCTATTCTCCTGCCTCAGCCTCCTGAGTAGCTGGGACTACAGGCGCCTGCCACCACACCCAGCTAATTTTTTTGTATTTTTAGTAGAGACGGGGTTTCACTGTGTTAGCCAGGATGATCTCCATCTCCTGACCTCGTGATCCGCCTGCCTCGGCCTCCCAAAGTGCTGGGATTACAGGTTTGAGCTACTGCGCCTGGCCGAGATTATATTTTTTATTAGTGGCCAGGTGCAGTGGCTCACACCTGTAATCTCAGCACTTTGGGAGGCCAAGGTGGGTGAATCACATGAGATCAGAGTTTGAGACCAGCCTGGCAAACATGGTGAAACCTCATCTCTACTAAAAATACAAAAATCAGTCGGGCATGGTGGCATGAGCCTGTAATCACAGCTACACAGAAGGCTGAGGCAGGAGAATTGCTTGAACCCAGGAGGCAGAGGTTGCAGTGAGCTGAGATCACACCACTGCACTCCAGCCTGGACGACAGAAACTCCATCTTAAAATATATATATATATGTATATGTGTGTGTATATATATAAAATATAAATAATAAAATGTATAAGATAAAAAAAGTAGCTTAAGACAACTTTCAAAGGGAGAAAAGAAACTTTCCAAAAAAGGCTAAAGATTGCAGGTACAGCTAATATCTTTTAACACATATACTACATTTATTTTTATATCCCTGAACTGAAGTCTGCACTTTGAAGCCTAGTCTAGTTTGTAAAAAGATGTCATTGTGCCTCTTGAGAGCACCGTCGCATTAACCTGCACTAAAATGAGGGAGAAGGAAGAAAGGCAAACAGTGTTTCTTACTACAAAGGTCAGATGAGCTGTAACAGACTCGCAGCTCACCAACACAGAGCAAGAGTCAAGATCACTGTAGCATGATCTGAGGGAAAGAATCAAAGGCATCACTCTGTTGTGGTGCCAGGGAGCCTGGCGGGAAAGCTGGCAGGAAGGGCAGGCCTCGACTCCCGGTCTGCTTGGCTCTGGCTTTGCCCTTCTGGCTCAGCTCTTTCCGGGGGCCTTGGGGTGTGGGGTGTTTTGAGGCCAACCTCGTGGGCCCGGCAATCTGGTGCAGCTTAGCTGGGGAAAAAAACAAGGAGATGTAGATGGGAAGATGAATTCATGTGTGTGTGTCTAAAATCATGGATGTGAATTGATGAGAAATGGCAACAGGCCTGAGGCCATAAAAAAGTGGTTAAATATGGCTTTTACCTACTCTTACTTGGCACTAAACTAATTTCTTGGGCTGGTCATGGAACAGGTTCACCTATTTAGGTAAAACAAGTGAGGTGAGATCTCCAAGAGCTAATTTGGTAGACGATGCCAAGGGCTTTCCCTATTCCAGACTCATCTTTGAGAGGCTTGAGAAGAACTTCCAGCTGGTTGCTTCTACTTCTCCCCACAGTTCCCTGCCAGCACAGTCAAACTGGTTGGAGATGCGAAGCCACAGTTTTGAGCCACACTGTTCTTCTTTTCTTTTTTTTTTGAGACAGAGTCTCTGTCATCCCGGCTGGAGTGTAGTGGCGTGATCTCAACTCACTGCAAACTCCGCCTCCTGGGTTCAAACAATTCTGTGCCTCAGCGTCCCAAGTAGCTGGGATTACAGGCACACACCATCATGCCCGGCTAATTTTTGTATTTATAGTAGAGACGGGGTTTCACCATGTTGGTCTCGAACTCCTGACCTCAGGTGATCCGCCCGCCTCGGCCTCCCAAAGTGCTGGGATTACAGGCGTGAGCCACCGCACCATGCCCAGCCAAGCCATACTGCTCTTAGCTGCAGAGTGGAATCATCTCCCTGGTGCCAGCTGGGGAAGACAGCTGGAGTGGTCTTGGTATGCCCACTGGCTCCCACAGCCTGATCAAGCACCTGCCCCTGTGTCTTAGTGCAGATGTTTTGTTCGTGGTGCCAGCGTTCAGTTCTACACATAAGAAGTTTTCGTCTCATTATAGTAATCCCGTGCCTTCACTCAGAGCCTATGGGTAAAATATAAGACATACTCTGACCAATCAACAAAGGACTAGTATCCAGAATATAAATATGCCCAGGATCCTTAAGCAGTTGAATACTACAACTGGAATTTTACAACAGTTAACCATCTAGGCAATTAATCTACCTAAAAAGCCTTTATAAAATGCTTTTTTTTTTTTTTTTGCACCCATAAGAATGAGTTCATGTCCTTTGCAGGGACATGGATGAAGCTGGAAATCATCATCCTCAGCAAACTAACACAGAAACAGAAAACCAAACACTGCATGTTCTCGCTCATAAGTGGGAGTTGAACAATGAGAACACATGGACACAGGATGGGAACATCACACACACACACACACACACACACACACACACACGATGGGTGGGGGCAAGGGGAGGGAGAGCATTAGGACAAATACCTAATGCATGCGGGGCTTAAAACCTAGATGACGGGTTGGTAGGTGCAGCAAACCACCATGGCACACGTATACAGCTATGTAACCTGCACGTTCAGCACATGTATCCCAGAACTTAAATTTTAAAAAAAGCCAAAAACCAAAATGCCTTTTTGCCCAGCACCTCGCAGGACATTGTAGAGAGGACGCCAAAAGTAGAATACACCATCCCTGACCTCAATGAGCTAAAAAAGGCTACAGTTTACTCAGAACTATTTGCCGGACACATTCTTTTTTTCTTTTTCTTTCTTTTTTTTTTTTTTTTTTGAGACAAAGTCTCACTCCATCACCTAGGATGGAGTGTAGTGACATGATCTTGGCTCACTGCAACCCACCTGGTGGGTTCAAGTGATTCTCCTGCCTTAGCCTCCTGAGTAGCTGGAATTACAGGTGTGCACCACCATGCTTGGCTAATTTTTGTATCTTCAGTAGAGATGGGGTTTCACCACGTTGCCCAGGCTGGTCTTGAACTCCTGACCTCAGGTGATCCGCCCGCCTTGGCCTCCCAAAGTGCTGAGATTACCGGCGTGAGCCACCATGCCTGGCCTTGGGCACATTATCTTTAGCCTCCCAATAACTGCAGGTTAGGTACTGTAGAAATCCCAGAAGCCAAAAGCAAGTTCCCGGGATTTGCAGTTCAATGTCTTTGTCTCTTGCCCCTCTGCCCAGTCCTTGGGCTCAGCACTCACCGGTGTTGATCTCCTCCTCGTCATACACATCCACCTCCAGGAGCCTGATGAGCATGCGGAAGAGGATCCTGAGGAACTGTAAATAGGAGCCCGTCTTTCCCACCTAACGGGAAGATTTTTAATTGGGGAGGAGTGGAGATGGGGAAGAGAGGGGAGGAAAAGAGAAAAGAGATTTCACACCTTGGCTTTGCAGTCTCCTGCCTGAGAGGCCTGAATGAGGTCCTCATTGCTCTGTCACACCTGCTCCACCCCCAAGAGGTTCTCTGGCTTCTACTTCTTGGGGAAGACATGCCAACCCCAGCCTAAGAAACGGCCCAGGCTAGCTTGGCCCTACCTGTGGGGGCCCTGTCAGCAGAAGCCGCCGGGGGTGGAAGTTTCGGGTGCCAGAGGCCGGGTCCAGCTGGTTGCTGTAGTCGGCGTGGTGCTGCCGGGCCGAGGTCCACTGCCTGTAGTAGAGGGACTGCTCCTCGCTGCTCATGTCCTTGTTCAGGAGCGGCCGCAGGGAACTCACCCAGGCCACGTCGGCGTGGGGCAGCAGGGATGAGGAGGATGGCAGCTTGCCACTCTTCTGGGAGCCTAGGAGGCTGTAGGCCGCTTTGGATAGGATCACCACTGGTGGCAGGGCTGCATGCGGGCCCCGGCAGCCTCTGATGGGCTGTCCCTGCCATGGGAGGGTCCTGGGTCCTGAGGACGATGATGGCGGCTTGGAGGTGGTGCTGCTCGCCATCTGGGGGGCCAGGGAGTCACACTCCTGCTTCTGAGTCTCCCCAGCTCCGGCTCCGGCTGAGCTGGCAGAGACCCCTTCATCCAGGCCCAGACTAGTGGCTGGGCTCTGGAAGCTGGGGGTCAGGGACTGCTTCTGGGACTTGTCAGCTGTGCTGGAAGAGCTCACTCCATTCTCCATGATGGAACCTGTTGAGAGAACAGACAGAACCCACCCCACAGCAGCACTGTTACTGATCGAAGGTGTGTGCTCAGGCTCCTGGCAGCTCTGGGAAGGACGCAAAGGCCGGGAAAGCAGTGGACACTGGGCTCGGCTCTATGGCTGCAGACCGAGCAAGAAATCTTCCCTTTGCTGCTCTGCACGCTGCTCCGCAGGGCAGCTCCAGCTCCTCCAGGCTGAGGGTCACTATCAACAGCAAACCCTACAGACCCCTCCTCTTCCATTCCTGCCCAGAGCCATCCAACAGCTGCTGCCAGAATGGACAGGAAGACCAGTGCTGCTTTTGGACAGAATTGTGTGTTCGCATATCAGAGTGATGGATCTCAATGATAGTTCAAGAAAAGGGTGAGGGGCTGGGCACGGTGGCTCACGTCTGTAATCCCAGTACTTCGGGGGGCTGAGGCAGGTGGATCACCTCAGGTCAGGGGTTTGAGACCAGCCTGGCCAATATGGTGAAACCTCATCTCTAGTAAAAATACAAAAGTTAGCTGGGCGTGGTGGTGGGCGCCTGTAATCCCAGCTACTCAGGAGGCTGAGGCAGGAGAATCGCTTGAACCCGGGAGGCGGAGGTTGCAGTGAGCCGAGATTGTGCCACTAAACTCCAGCCTGGGCGACAAGAAACTCTGTCCCCTACACATAAAAAAAAGCGGGGGGGCTAAGGGGAGAAGGAGGGGGAGTGTGTTTCATTTTTAATCTCAGAATTCTCTGTACTTTGTTACATTTTTTCCTTTTCTTTCTCTTTTTATTCTTTTTTTCTTTTTTTGACAGAATTTTCCTCTTGTTGCCCAGAATGGAGTGCAGTGGTGCAATCTTGGCTCACTGCAACCTCCATCTCCTGGGTTCAAGCGATTCTCCTGCCTCAGCCTCCAGGGTAGCTGGGATTACAGGTGTGAGCCACCACGCCCAGCTAACTATTTTTAGTAGAGACAGGGTTTCACCATGTTGGCCAGGCTGGTCTCGAACTCCTGACCTCAGGTGATCCACCTGCCTCGGCCTCCCAAAGTGCTAGGATTACAGGCCCACTGCTCCCGGCCGACATTTTCCATGTTTTCTGCATTAAGCTTTATTACTTTCATAATCGGAAAAAATGGAAAGAGTGCTACATTTGCTGTAATACAATTTATCCGAAGAAAGTTCATGCCAGGCACTGCCACAGACCTGCAGTAATGCTGCAAGACAGGGGCCGGCAGGCTGCAGGGTGGGCCTTCACATCCACGCTGGCCCCACAGGAGTCCTCACCATACAATGCTTGCTGTTAACTGTTTAGAAAAGCCATTCATTCACTCATTCGTTCATTCATTCACATTCAAGCAAACATCTTGTGTCAGGTACTAAGCCATTTAGCACAAACTTACAGCTTCAGGACCTGGAAGAAAAACAGCCTTTGTGCAAATATGAGATGCATAATAACCATGAGACGATTAAGGGTAGAAAAGACTAGGGAAAATGGTACAGGCCAGGGTTGATAAAGTTGTTTTTAGCCTGTTAGCAAGCTCTTCCTTAAATGTTTACCCAGAAAAGTATTTTGTGGCTGTTCAACAGTCATGTTTTCCAAGCATCACCCCCCTGGAGCTGGGTCTGGAGAGGATGCCAGTCCCGAAGGCTCCTCTGAAGGCTGTCGGAGTGTCAATAAATGCCTCTGCCTTCCACATTCCTACACACCTCCTGACTCATGTCTCTCGCGCCATGAAAGAGAAAAGAAAGTACTGACCCGAGGTCCCTGTGACGGCGCTGCTGTTGCTCTGGGGCCGCTCCAGGTCGATGAGCAGCTCATCGGAGTCGTTCTCACTGACAGCAGCTCTCTCCTGCTCCTTCCCGCTGAGGTCCAGGGCAACAGTGGGTCCCCGGATGACCTCTTTAGAGACATAGCAGCATGCCAGACCCACCTCCTGCTCCAAGGCCGTGCGAGTTAAATAGCTTGAGTCAATTAACCGGAGGTCACAGTACTTCAAAGACCTGAACAAAAGTAATTGTGGTGTTGGTGAGTCCATCTGGCCAAGCACGCAATGTGTATGTGTGCCTGGTGATCTGGATGCAGCACACAGCAGTTAAAATCCTAGGTTTCAGTGCCAGGTGAGCCTTGACCGAAACCTCAGCTCTGCCACCTCCCAGCTGTTATGACCTTCATTTCTCTGTGCTTCATTTTCTTCTAATATAAAAAGAGTGGATAGTAGTGTTGGGCGCATATGGTGGCTGTAAGGACTGAATACATGTGAGACATTCAGGACGCTGCCTGACACGCACAGTGAGCATTCAACTAATGCTTTTATTGTTGTTGCCCTCCAGTCTACGGAGTCTCGATCCTTGAGGGGCACAGGAATAGCAGATTAACAAAGACAAAGCACTTTATTAAAAAAAAAAAAAAATCCTGCTTTTCCTCCCTGCCTCTCTGACATTTCTCAAATGTGGCTGTCGCCTGTTCCCAACATTACTGGATGCTCTCTGGAAAGCTAAAAAAAAGAATAAAAGAAGGTTGTATGGCTGTATTTCTTATATCCCTGCATAAAACAATCCTCTTCTCACTACCTGACAAAGGAAATGATTGGGCGATCAGCCAAGTTTTAATCATCAGTTCAGCTGGGCAACTGATGAAAACTGGAATTAATTATTGAAATTGTACCTGGGAAAGGTCTCTCCAAGAGGATCTTTGCCAGTTAATATCACAATACAAGGCAGACCGTCTAAATCTTGGTATGTCCGAGGGATCCATTCTTCTGGTTCACTTCCTCTCCAACTCTATAGCAAGAGACGCGTATGTTAAAATTAAAACTCTCATTTAAGTTTCCACCTTTTGTATAGGTTTCTAAGTCCAGATTTTAGACATACCGTGCTTTAAAATGACTCCACTAAGTGTTTATATATGTGTATGTATGTGTATTTTGATTGCTACTACATCGCATATACAAGGCACTTCTGCAGGAAGGAGGGCTGTAGTTTATCTCAGTAGGATAAAACGGGAGATGCTGGTATACCTCAGGCCAAAAACACATACAATGTGAAATATCCCACTAGTGATGGAAACCTTACAGAAATCCTGGCTAAACTACCTGAATCAAGGCACTTAAATATACTTTCTTCACATATTGGAGAAATTCTTGGGATTGGAAGACTGAAAAAGTTGCAGTTGTGAATGACTCAGAAAAGAATCTCAGAATTCCATTAAAACAGACATTTCACCAAGAAAGTAATGAAAACAATGAACCACTCTTGATAGTTATTTTCCCTCCTTCTTGCTTTACTGGTTTTTAAAATAACTAACAAGCAATTATTGGCTTAGGGCCTTGAAACAATCTCTCTCAAGACGACTAAAAATATAACCAGACCTGGATTGAGAAGAAAACAACAAAACGAAACTGCCCCTCATTTGGAGGACTAATGTAAATTGCTCATGGTTTCTCAAATAATAAGTATCAATTTTTCATATAAACACACATATAAGTAGACACATGTATCTTTAATAAATGGAACACCAATCTTGAAAACATGAATATATCAATGAAAAGTAATCCCACCAATTTGAAAAATATTCAAAAGTAAAATGACCTTACCGATGTGTCTATTTTAGAACAGAAAGAAAAATGACCATCTCTCAAGTAGATAAGGTGGTTTCTACTACTTTTCATTAAGTGTGTAGCATGTACCTATCCTTTTTATTACCTTTCTAGCAGGAGTTTTTATAAGCAATGAACGCACATTTCTGATAATGCTTTAGGGGAAAAGACTAAGAAGCAAGGTGTTAAGTAATGCATACAATTTTTTTTTTTTTTTTTTTTGAGACAGAGTCTTGCTCTGTTGCCCAGGCTGGAGTACCGTGGACAGGTGTGAATCACTACACCTGGCCAGTAAAGCATACAATTTTATTTTAAAATAGACTGGTACTTCCTTTACTAAGCACAAAATGGGACAGAAAGAAAGTCACCAGGCAAAAGATAATAGGGTTTGATTGATGATTTGTTGATGCCTATAAAAGGCTCAATAAAGAAAAGCCAGTCTTTAGTAATAAACATTCCCACAATCACTTCAAATAAAATTTCTATAATTTGTAAAACTGGAAGAAGCTTAACCATTCTTAGGCTTTTACTTGTTGTCCAATCTTTTATTATATCTGTGCATACTAAGGGGAAATAGGGAACCTACGTAACTCTTTACAAGTTTTACAGACTTTCCGTGTTTTAGAAAAATCAGTGTGTCAAAAAGATTTTTTTAATGCTAGAAGAAAAATGCTCTATAAAAATTTAATTTTCCACACCATTTCATGTCAAGGGGAACCATAACATTGCGTCATTTAAAGCAAATCATTCCGGAACAGAAATCACTTCACCGATTGCCTTCACACTGGACGCACAGTATCCCTGACACTGGGCTTCTCCCTGAATGTGTTTTATCTCCCAGAACCATCTCCATATAGGTCACGGCTTCACCAGGAAGAGGTCAGGTTATATTGATGGAATAACAGGTAAAATGTTTTACTGTAGGAGGACTTTTTTTTTTTTTTTTTTGGAGACAGGGTCTCACTCTGTCACCCAGGCCGCAGTGCAATGGTGCAATCTTGGCTCATGGCGACCTCTGCCTCTCCAGTTCAAGCAATTCTCCTGCCTCAGCCTCCTGAGTAGCTGCGATTACAGATGCCCGCCACCGCACCTGGCTAATTTTTGTATTTTTAGTAGAGATGGGGTTTTGCCATGTTGGCCAAGCTGGTCTTGAACTTCTAACCTCAAGGGATCTGCCCGCCTCAGTCTCCCAAAGTGCTGGGATTATAGGCATGAGCTACTGCTCCTGGTCTATATGAGGATATTTATTTTCAGAAGATTAGTAGCCAAATCTCACTTTTATTCTTGACCAACCACAGCTAGCCAAACCCACTATAAAGTGCTTTTCCATCACATTGCTACTTCTGATGACTGACGGCTGCAGTTCTACTGTGCATCAATCAGGCCCACAAGATGATTTTATTGCAGAAGCACTTAACACAAAAGATGGGGTGATCATTGAGTTCAAGGATAACATGAGGCTTAAGACCAAGGACATCTAATGAAAGCTTCACCTGCCTTCTGGAGGAACTGGCTTAAACTCTGTATCCTTCCAAAGGGGTCATCATCAGTGTAAGTTAACCACAATACATAACAGGATAATTAGGGGTAAGCACAAAAATAACATCACATAATAGAAGTAGTGTTGGATTTTACCAAAAAGTAGAGATAGCAGGCACAATCTTACCATCCTGAAAATGGTGAAGGAGGTTGGTAACTTAGAAATAAATGAGTGAACCAGAATCTACTTGACAATTCAGTCTTGCTTAGGATGTGAACATCCCAACATGATCTCATATTTTTACTCCCACACAAATACAGTGTAAAAAGGACTGTTGTGATCCAGAGAATTTGAGAATTTGGGACTTGCTTATTTTTATATATTTTTAAGAGACAGGGTCTCACTATGTTGCACAGGCCGGAGTGCAGTGGTGGGATCATAGTTCACTGCAGCCTCAAATTCCTGGGCTCAAGCAGTCCTCCTGCCTCAGGCTCCCAAGTAGCTGGGACTACAGACATGAGCCATCACAACAGCCAGAATATAGGACTCTCTTATGCTTACTTGTTGCCTGGCAGCTACTCATACCAACTGAGGAAGTAACACTGCCTTGAGAAGTAACAACTTGAGGCCCCCTTCGTTTAGGGCACAGGGATCCTCAACTAATCGCCCTTTGAAAGCCCTGCGGGTGATTCTGATGAGCTAGCAGCCAGGTGAAGAACCTCAGGCCTTGACTGTGGTTTTCCAACAGTGGTCCAGAGGGGTAAATTATTTAGGACAGACTGATTTATACTGACTTAGTGACTGGCCCTTCTGAACACATGACTGAAGACTCTGTAAGTAGCCTCACTTAATCAGTGTCAACAGAGCCCAGGAGAAGACCCAGTAGCCTCACGTGCATTTAGGTAATCTCTGGCAACAGGTGTGGGAGACTCAGCGTGGTGCTGCTGATTGTCCGCCTTTCCAAATTCTTCATCATTAGCAACATTCAAATGCTCTCAAGCCCGTAATTCATGTCTCCATGAATTATACTGTAAGAAGCATTTCTGGAGTTTTGTTATTCATCCCAGGAATTCCACTGTAATGTAGTCTATGACTATAACATAAAACTGTGAATGTGTATATATGAAACATAAATGTTACAACTTCTAAATATAGGAGTTTCTATTTTTTGGACAATTTTATTTGTTCCAGTTGCTTATCAAGCTAATACAAGATATTTTGTCTGCATTTTGGATTATTTAATTTAGGTTAGGTAACTGAACACAAGAAAGATTTACATCTCCAGAACAATTTTTGAACACTAAATAAATATTCCCAAATTAGAACTCTGAGAGGTTAGACAGCCCAATTCTCTCATTTTGCAGATGGGAAACCGCAGCCCAGGGTGAAAATGCAAATTCCCCCAAGACTGTGTGCCTTCTTTTCATAAAATTTGTGCTGAACCAGATTTTCCTTAACCCAATTTAGCTCAGTATTTAATGTATAGGGTGCAGATACAAGTTGGTCTAACTCAGACATACAGAAACTAGCTCAGTTCCATACCGACATGTAGCTGGATATTTGATTAAATGTTTTCTAATGGCTAGGCCCCACTGGATTGTAGGCCCAGAAAAACCGAGTTAGGTTAGTTGGTTGAGGGTTCTACTCCTCCCACCCTGATGCCTGACAGGAGAGGAAGGGGAGAAGCAGTCAGTCACTGGCCGTGCAGCGGGAGCAGTGAGGGACTCAGTCATGCACTAAATCCTTCTGTAGGGTGCCTGGCGAAGTCTCAGTCCAGCCAAAGCCTTGGGGCTGAGGGTCAAAGCAAGTACAAAGAAACAACAAACTGTTGAGGATTCCACATGCAAGAGGGCTAGGAACAGTTCTGAGAACTGAAGATGAAACAGAGTACTTTACCGACTCTAGACATGAGCTCACAGACAGGCTAGATGAACAGAAAAGAATTAGTGAGTTGAGGACACTTAAAGCGTTACCCCCCCAGAGGTCTGAGAGGACAACTTACCTTTTTTTCTGAGAAAACAGATGGCCGTGGGCTACATGCATCTTGAACAAGGCCAATAAACATGGGGTCAAATTGGGTCATCACATTTTTTGCATCTGCAGTTGGAGAGCATGGAAGACCAACTGCATGCACCTGCTATAAAGGGGCTGGGCAATCTTTACAAACTGGTTCTAATTAAGAAAGTGAGTATGTCCCTTCATTGAGCCTTATCACTGTCACGGAAATCAAATTTACACATGTGTAAAAATCTATTAAACTCAGGCCCCTGAGCCACCTATGTAGGATTCCTAGAAAAGAGAAACAAATGGTATTTTAAAGGAGAAATGTCTGTCCAGTGCTAACCTTTAATCGCGCCACAAAGTGAGTTGCAACACTGAGTTCAGTGGCCGGGTTCCCAAGGATGATCTCGAACCGATACTGCAGACCCAGTTTGTCGCGCACCTCCTGTAGCCGCTCCTTGGCTAACATCGCCAGCTGCACCGAGGGCACCCTGATAATGAGCATGTGTCCCCTCCCACTTTTGTTTTTGCCTGGGGAGCTGATGAGGTCATCCATAATGCTGAGTGTTTCTGGTGTGCTGTGGTCTCGGAGTGACGCCATGGTGGTGAGAGCCATCAGAGCCTCAGAGTACTGCTGGATGAGAAGATAGCAGCGGACGACCATGCTGTGCAGCCTGGGGTACCTTCGACAGAACACAAGGCACTAGCACTCAGGCAGCAGGGCCAGCTGGGAGCAGCAAGGCCTGTGCAGTAAGAATGCAGATTAAGCATGGTGGGGAAGGGGCTACTGATCAGTGGTGGGGCTTTAGCTCTAGAATGACCTGGGATCCCACGTCACTGGAAGGAAAAGGCTGAGCTTCCAAAGCATGTGAATCAACCTGTTGGGATAAGTACAGCATAGTAAAGGGGTTTAGAGATTGTCTAGAGACCCTCTCTTCTCAAATTGTGGTCTATAGACCACCAGCAGCAGCAGCAGCACCTGGGAGCTTGTTAGAAATGCTGAATCTCCCCACCCCAGACCTACTAATCAGAATCTGAAGCTTAACAAGACTCCTGGGGAACTGCATCCACATTAAATTCTGAGACACATTGGTCTATTCCATTCATTGCCGTCATAGTCATCATAGATAATCCCTGGATCCTCACCTCTTGCTGGTGGCATTGGGTTAGAATGACAGCACTGTCCACTTATTTCTCTGATATATAAGATTACAATAAAGGAAACGGAGGCATTAGTGTAATATCTGTTGAGTATTAGACATAAAAAGGGTAATTATTAGTACTAATCTGAGGTCAGCCTCACAGATAGCAATCTCTACCTTTCCATAAACTGTTCCTTGGTGTTGGAGAAACCTGGAGCTGACTGGAGAAACAGCACCCCCTAGTGTTGTAGCCTCATCACCTGAGACCTGGCTCCGTCAAGGGAGCCAAGCAAATCTGAGCCTGGTAGCAGCAGCCTTTGGTACCATTTTTCCCTAAGCCTGGACTGCCAGGGAAGAGGATCCCTTTGTTAAAATCGGCAGTTTTTACAATTATAGAGGAGTCAGAAAACAAATTTCGCCTTTTGGGGCTACGCCTCAGCCAGGCCTGATGACAAAATGAGTACGAATGGGTAAAGAAGACCCACTTACAGGTATGAAGAGCTGCTAGTCAAGAAAGCAGGTGCTTGGCTACCCTGAGCACACTGCCCAGCAGTACTTCTGCTGCTGAATAAAAATAATTTTTCTAAAAAACAGAAAGTAGGCGTGGTGGCTCACGTCTGTAATTCCAGCACTTTGGGAGGATGAGGTGGGTGGATCACTTGAGGTCAGGAGTTCGAGACCAGCCTAGCCAACATGGTGAAACCCCATCTCTACTAAAAATACAAAAATTAGCCCGGCACATGCCTGTAATCCCAGCTACTTGGGAGGCTGAGGCAGGACAGTCACTTGAACCTGGGAGGCGGAGGTTGCAGTAAGCCGAGATCATGCCATTGCACTCCAGCCTGGGCGACAGAGTGAGAGTCTGGGGAGCTGATGAGGTTCCCATAAGAATAAGAAACATAGCAAAAGAAAATAAAAAATAAGAAATAAGAAAAGAAAAAGAAAATAAGACAAAATAAGAAAAGAAAAAGAAAGAAAGCAGGTGCTGGCAAAGTGGGCCCTGGGTCCAAGGTTGGCCAAGGCTCTCATGGAGCCTGGTAGAATAAGGCTGGGGCTGTGCACTTTCTTTCTGGTTGCCATCTGGTAGCAATGTAGCCACCAGCAGCTGGGTAGGCTGATGGGGGATTTCACCCTTGTTCCATTCTATAATTCTACTTAAAATACAACAAGTGGTCCACTGGCCTTGCACAGAAAACCTCCAGGTCAAATAAACGCCAATGACAGCTGTCAAATGAATAACACATGAATACTTTTGAGGTGTTTTAGAACTGGAAAGGACCGAGATGCCCTGTATATGAACAACTCTGTCTTTTGTTTTTCTTTGAGACAGAGTCCCGCTCTGTCACCAAGGCTGGCATGCTGGTGTGCAGTAGCACAATCTCAGCTCGCTGCAACCTTCGCCTCCTGGGTTCAAGTGATTCTCCTGCCTCAGCCCCCTGAGTAGCTGGGATTACGGGCATGTGCCCAGCTAATTTTGTATTTTTAGTAGAGACATGGTTTCTCCATGTTGATCAGGCTGGTCTCGAACTCCTGACCTCAGGTGATCCGCCCGCCTCAGCCTCCCAAAGTGCTGGGATTACAGATATGAGCCACTGCGCCTGGCCTTTTTTTTTTTTTTTGAGATGGAGTCTCGCTCTGTCGCTCAGACTGGAGTGCAATGGCGCAATCTCAGTTCACTGCAACCTCCGCCTCCCAGGTTCAAATGATTCTCCCTGCCTAAGCCTCCTGGGTAACTGGGATTACAGCGCCTGCCACCACGCCCGGCTTTTTTTTTTTTTTTTTTTTTTTTGTATTTTTAGTAGAGACAGGGTTTCACCATGTTGGCCAGGCTGGTCTTGAACTCCTGACCTCAGGTGATCCACCCACCTTGGCCTCCCAAAGTGGTGGGATTACAGGTGTGAGCCACCACACCTAGCCCACTCTGCATTTTCATAGAAAGGGAATGAGTTCAGGGGCAGAGAGAAGTTCAGTTGCTTGTCCCAGTTCATACAACTGATCAGAGACAAAGCTAGGTCTAGATTTTATCCAGTCTCTAGCAATGTCTTCACACATTGCAAGGATTTAGCAGGTTGGGTAGAAATGAAGAAATCCTTCAGTTCAATAAATCCTGGGCTGGTCCCTTCAGGTATTCAGTAAGTCATAGCTACTATTAGGCTGGGGTGACTGGACTGGAGGAAATAGGTACAGATAATCTGTGTTTCAAGCGTAATGCTTTTTTGCTGGGCCACGTAGAAAAGCCAAAGTTAGAATAAATGGTAACTTTGATATCCAGCATTTCTATTTCATACTCTGAAGGAATCATGAAGTTAGAAGTACACAGTTTCTCCAATCTGTCATGCTTGCATTAAACTATACTTACAACTTTTGTAGCACAAAACTACAATAGGAAGTTGATGGGACCATCATTTAAAATAAAAGTTATGAAACTCTGAATGATGTTACCAGAAAAAGAAGATGCATTTCAAGCTGGTGGATGTAACAGGTGGGTGGGAACGCTTAGAGGGGGTACTCATGGAATGACTTCGGAAAATTCAGACTACATGTGCTGTGAAAGGATTAATGTCACAGTGTCAGTTAAGACTTCCCAAATCCAACAGCTGCACAAATATCAAACCCTACTTGAGCCGGCGCTCTTTCCGGATGCAGTATTATCATTTGTTGAATAGCATGCATCCGTAGGTCCTCATTTTAATTTCCTTTTCTTTTTTCTTAGCAAAATTATGGGCAGGTTTGTTAAATAGATGTTAAATAATATGATCAATTAAAGGCATTCTAAGAACTGCAGCTACTAAAAATTAGAATTGGCCTAATAAAATAAAGTCCAATTGCCCCAACATTGGATGAGCAAACAGAATATTGTGGAGGGCAGAGAGGGACCTTTATTAGGTTAGGTAACTTTGAATGTCTACCTACCTTTTAATCTATGATTCAAGGTGACAGAGAGAAAAAACTCTTTCAGAGTTTAATCTGGAACTGGGGATTTTTTTTTTTTTTTTTTTTTAAAGAAAAAGAAGAGAAGACAGAAGAGTTATATTCCTTAATCCCTAAGGTCAGGGACTGGAGGAGGCGCCCCAAGAACTGAATTCACCTCAACTATCTGATTGCTCTTTAATTTCTTCCAGTGTATACTTCAAATCTCTCATAGTAAAGTTTAGTTTTTACTGAATCATCTTAGGGTCCTTGCCTGTGGTGGACAGGGGAGAAAAGAAGGAAAAATGTCAAAGTCTGAGGTGTAAGGTAGGAGAGGCCGGAGCTCACAGAAGGGGTCTTTTTTTTTTTTTTTTTTTTTTTTGAGACAGAGTCTTGCTCTGTCGCCCAGGCTGGAGTGCAGTGGCGTGATCTCAGCTCACTGCAAGCTCCGCCTCCCCAGCTCACGCCATTCTCCTGCCTCAGCCTCCCGAGTAGCTGGGACTACAGGCGCCCGCCATCACACCTGGCTAATTTTTTGTAATTTTAGTAGAGACGGGGTTTCACCGTGTTAGCCAGGGTGGTCTCGATCTCCTGACCTTGTGATCCACCCGCCTTGGCCTCCCAAAGTGCTGGGATTACAGGCGTGAGCCACCGCGCCCGGCCAGAAGCCGGTCTTGAATAAACAAATCTCTCTCTGCCCTATCCATCTCCTGATGATAGCAATGAAGCATGACTGGAAGCTGACTCAGCATGAAGAGTAGTGCAACGGCCCACTTTGGTTGTATTTCCTTTATTGGTCTTGGATGATCACATAAAACAATAGTAGGGCATCTTAGGAAAGGCTGTTTTAATTTGGCCTTTGCATGTTATCTGCAAGGGCCCCATCAGACACCCTGTAGCACTGACACAAAAGGCTTTTGGCTATTTTAGATCTGCAAGTACAGCTAGAGAGAAGAGCAGAAGGCCTTATTTACTATTTACCTCTCCAAGAGTGTGTTCACCATTTTTTCAAAAGTCTCGTCACATCTCAGAAGTGGGCTCGTGATCCCCCACTGCAGAGACTTGCTGTACTCATTCAAGCCAAAGTATAGCTTCTCCTCGCAGCCCACGTCCTCCTGGTTCAAAATACAGAGCAAAAACCCAATGAGGACAGGATACGGTGTCTCGTTTTCCAGAAAGTGGGGTGGGGAGGGGGGTTGGGGGGGAGTCCCTGTAAGAGGTTATTTCCTGACAAGAAAGAAAAAATATTGTGTTTCATTATGTAACCCAACACCAACTCTACAGTCATCTCTGAGGCACTAAGTGAAATTTCTTTTCATTTCAAAGGAACTGAATATGTGATTAGTGGAAAGTTGACACATTTCCTTCAGGCACATGGTTCGTTTTCTTTTTCTTTTGTTGGGATACACAAGGTCAGACAGCCTCAATTCTCAGCCTTTTTCCCTGCTGGAAGCAGTTCTCTATACAGATAAATAGGCTCTCCTCAGAACTCTAGATACTGACAAACTCCTCTGTTACAGAAACTTTAACTTTTCTGACATCATTTCATAATGGTAATTCATAAAAGCTTATCTTTGCAAACAAATTTTACTTTAAAAATGGAATATACGCTTTCCTTAAACAGGACCCACAGTATTTTTAAGTAGCCCCCCTCTTGATGAGTCAGTCATCACTATGAAAATGAATAGCTATTTTAGGCGGTGACACAAAGATGCCCTCAGAGGATCTTGAGAAGTGTGACAAGTTGCTTGTCCTTAAACTCAGAAGCTCCAGGATATTAAATAAGCTTTTTGAGTTCATGAATCTGTTTTTATTTATAGTTTTTTTTTGCATCTTTTCTGCATTAGTTTTTTACAGTCATGTCTTGCTGTTATGTTGCCTGTGCCATTTGGTCTATTTTACTTTATTTTATTTATTTTATTTTTTGAGACCAAGTTTTTTCTTTTGAGACCAAGTTGCCCAGGCTGGAGAGAAATGGCGCAATCATGGCTCACTGCAACCTCCGCCTCCCGGAATCATGGCTCACTGCAACCTCCGCCTCCCAGTTTCAAGTGATTCTCCTGCCTCAGCCTCCTGAGTGGCTGGGATTACAGGCGTCCACCACCATGCCCGGCTCATTTTTTTTTTTTGCATTTTTAGGAGAGACGGGGTTTCATCACGTTGGTCAGGCTGGTTTCAAATTCCTGGCCTCAGCCTCCCAAAGTGCTGGGATGACAGGCGTGAGCCACTGCACCTGGCCCACTTTTGTTATTTATTATGTGTTGACATTTTTATTTAAGCACTCTCCAACTCATAAAGGAAATAAGACAGCTTTAAAAGATATAAGATAAAGGCTGGGTGCAGTGGCTCACACCTGTAAACCCAGCACTTTTTTTTGAGATCAGCCTGGCCAATATGGTGAAACCCCATCTCTACTAAAAATACAAAAATTAGCCAGGCGTGGTAGCGGGTGCCTATAGACCCAGCTACTCAGGAGGCTGAGGCAGGAGAATACCTTGAACAAGGAGGTGGAGGTTGCAGTGAGCCGAGATAGAGTCACTGCACTCCAGCCTGGGTGACAGAGCGAAACTCAGTCTCAAAAAAAAAAAAAAAAAAAAAAAAAAATTATATACATATATTAAGATAAAAATAAATTAAGCAATCAGAGGAAGAAAAAGCAAGGGTAAGAGAAGGAAGACTGGGCCAGGGATAAAGTAAGTATTCCCTAAAATGCATGCCAGCAGTTTCTGCACATTTTGTTAGAAGTGGGCTACAAATTTGGTAGCCCAAATTCTGAGCTTTTTTTTTTCTTTTGAGGAGTCTCACTCTGTCACCCAGGCTGGAGTGCAGTGGTGTGATCTCGGCTACTGCAACCTCGGCCTCTTGGGTTCAAGCCATTCTCCTGCCTCAGTCTCCCAAGTAGCTGGGACTACAGGCACGCACCACCACACCCAGCTAATTTTTGTATTTTTAGTAGAGATGAGGTTTCACCATGTTAGCAGGCTGGTCTCGAATTCCTGACCTCAGGTGATCCACCTGCCTCGGCCTCCCAAAGTGCTGGGATTACAGACATGAGCCAATGTGCCCGGCTGGTTCTGAGCTTTTCAGTAACCATCTAAAGAGAAACAACTGTATGATTTATAAGGCCCATAAGATAAAAATAAAGCATGTTTTAACTGAAGGCTTTTAACTTTTTGAGGCCCCCCCCAAAACCCTGCTTTTGGGAATAGGTTTGAGAGTAAACAGGCTTTATGAGAGCACCGGAATATGTTCTTAGAGATACTGGAGACTGACGACATAGACTGAATGACATCTGTTTTCAAGGCTAGAAGCCTTTGCTTATTTCGTTCTGGGCTTAGCTGTGTTCTGGGTAACTGTGTCAAATAAGTCATTTCCCGGGGAAAAAAGTCATCCATCTAAGCTTCCCTCCTCATCTGGACTGCAGACACAGAGTCATTTGGAAAAGCTTTATGAGGTGTGCACTTGGTCTTCACATTTCCTGCTCATCCTTGGCCCCTTTTTCTTTGGGAAATTATTAAATCCTACTCCGAGCCTGTTGCTCTTCCTGACACAGCATTAGAACTGCTGGATACGATGCATCCACCTTGCATCCACCTGTCCTCGTTTCTATTTCTCTCTCTTTTTTCTTAGCAGGTTGGTAAACAGATGGCCTGTGATTAACTAGAGCCAGTATGGGTTTTGGGAACTAGAGCTACTAAAAATTAGAATTAGCAGTGAATGGTTTCCCCATCTGTTCTGTTTGCATTAAATTGTAACTATGGTTTTGTGTTACAAAAGTTTTAATAGAAATGAGTGGAACTATTCTTTAAACCATGAGTTATGAAACTGAATGATTTTACTGTAAAGATACGTTTCAGGTATCATAAATCGTATGACTTATTGAATCACTATTTCTGGGGGGAGAATGTCCCTTCTCATAAGGCAAACTCCCCTGTGTGGAAGGCCTGCCCTCTCAGTGACCCTCCATGCTCCCAGTGCTTTCGCTGCTGTCTCTGCCTTTGCTCCTGTCCAACGCTCCGCTCTCCAGATGCTGTTCCCTGGAAGGTCACCAAGGACTCCTGAGGCCAACGCCAGTGGTGATGACTTGTTGGCCCTTGGCCTCACTGCCCTCTTGGCAGTTCTCTTTGTTATTTTCTTCCATGATTCTAACCACACCAGCTGCCTCAATAATCACTGTTTGCTAAAACAAAACAAAACAAACAAAAAAACATAATCTACACAATGGTGTGCTCACCTGCACCTTAACTCAAAGTCAGTCTCATCTGCCCTCCACAAATCAAACTTCTTTCCGGCCAGGCGTGGTGGCTCACGCCTATAATCCCAGCACTTTGGGAGGCCGAGGAGGGCAGATCACTTGAGGTCAGGAGTTCAAGACCAGCCTGGCCAACACGGTGAAACCCCATCTCTACTGAAAATATAAAAAATTAGCCAAGCATGGTGGCGCACGCCTGTAATCCCAGCTACTTAGGAGGCTGATGCAGGAGAATCGCTTGAACCCGGGAGGCAGAGGTTGCAGTGAGCCGAGATGGTGCCACTGCACTCCAGCCTGGCTGACAGTGAGACTCTGTCTCAAAAAACAAAACAAAACAAAAAACTCCTTTCAACTTCTTTTTTCCAACTAAAGGTAACACCTGAAAAATATTTCTGGTTCTTCCCTCTCCCTGAATAAACAAATCCTAGAAAATGTGCCATGTCTGCCATCCATTTTATTGCCAGGACCATCATTCTGATTCATGTATTTGTTCATTCTAACCCAAATTATCAGAAAAGCCACTGACTGATCTACTTCTAATCACTTTGACTTAGCCTCTAGATTGAATGAACTGCCTCTCAGTAGCTATTAAAGCTGAACATATGTGTACTTGATGACCCAGAAATTTCACTCTCAGAGACCCAAAAGAAATGCATACATACATTTACTAAAGGGTGTGCCAGGATGTTACAGCAGTACTATGTAAAATAAAATAGGATGGATACATGAACTGTGGTGGAGTCATACAATGTAACACACACACACAGCAAAAAGAATGATTTACGATTCATGAAAACTACAAATTTCCCAAACAAAATGTTAAGCAAAGGAAGTCAGATACAAGAGAGTACATACTGCATGTTTCCATTTATATAAGCTCCATACTGAGCAAAACAAATCTGTAATACAGGAGGCCAGAATAGTGTTACCCTTTAGTGGGGGTGCCCAGAAGGGACACAGGACTTCCAGGGTGGTGGTAAGATTCTGTTTCTTGATCTGAGTGCTGGTCCCACAGGCGTGTTTAGTTTGTGAAAATTCATCACAAACTAAACATTTTACATTGTTAACAAGAAACAGGTAAATTCTAATAATGCTATATATATACACACACACACACTAATTCTAATTATATAGTGTATATATATACACTATATATAGTATATATACTATATACTAAATTATAATAATGCTATATATATATATGTGTGTGTGTGTGTGTGTGTGTATATATATATATACTTTTGCTAAAAAATCCTTAATGCCTGTATAATAAGTGTAAACTTTGCTAGCCTGGCACTGACAGCCTCCATGTGTACATTTCCAGGCTTCTTTTGCATCCTATGCAGCGTTCTCTGAAAAATGCCCAGTTTCCTCCTCTGTGTCCCCTGCCCACACTGTCCGCTGCCAGGAGTGCCTCCTCCTGCCCCCATCCCCCTGCCCAGGCCTTCCTGTCTCCCCAGGGCCATCATCCTCTGTTCTCTTTTCCATGGAGCTTCCCCTGGACCTCTCAAATAAATGTGACTCCTCCCTCACTTCAACTCCCAGAGCATTTTGATTTTCTGAAATTGTCTTATTCTCCTCTGGATAATAGTGACTTAGACATATACTTTGCTTTCTCCTCTAAACCATCAGTTTTCTTTGTCTTTTTCTTTCTTTTTGAGATGGAGTCTCACTCTGTCACCCATGCTGGAGTGCAGTGGCACTATCTCGGCTCTTTGCAAGCTTCACCTCCGGGGTTCAAGTGATTCTCCTGCTTCAGCCTTCCGAGTAGCTGGGATTACAGTTGCCCGCCACCACGCCTGGATAATTTTTGTATTTTTAGTAGGGACAGGGTTTCACCATGTTGCCCAGGCTGGTCTCGAACTCCTGACTTCAAATGATCTGCCTGCCTTGGCCTCCCAAAGTGCTGGGATTACAGGTGTGAGCCACTGTGCTCGGCTTAAACCATCAGTTTTCTGTGTGTTCTTTGCAAGATTCAACACAAGTCCACAAGTGTGCTCAATCATATTTTTTGAATTCAACTAATTTGCTTTTTTCCAATTATCCCTCCTGGGATATAGGCTTCAAGATAACTAAAGGATGCTAACCATCAGGAACTTCTCCCTTACATGTATAAAGTTGTTGTAAATTAAATTTTTTTTCCCCTTTATCCCATGTTGATCTCAATTTCAGGGACGATTTCTTTCAATCTTAAATTGAAGAAGAGTGTAACTCTTCACCTCTCAATTAGTTTGAACAAATACCTGATATCATATCTTTAATCCAGAATAACATCACTAGATATGTCTAAGAAGCCCCTCACCTCTTTTTTTTTTTTTTTTTTTTTGCGATGGAGTCTTTCTCTGTCACCTAGGCTGGAGTGCAGTGGTATAATCTCGGCTCACTGCAATCCCCATTTCCTGGGTTCAAGCAATTCTCTGGCCTCAGCCTCCAGAGTAGCTGGGATTACAGGCACCCGCCACCACACCTGGCTAATTTTTGTATTTTTAGTAGAGATGGGGTTTCACCACATTGGCCAGGTTGGTCTCGAACTCCCGATCTCAAGTGATCCACTCATCTCAGCCTCCCAGGGTGCTGACTTTACAGGCGTGAGCCACCGTGCCTGGCCAAGAACCCTTTTCAGAAACATAACCACAGGCTAGGTACAGTGGCTCATGCCTGTAATCCTAACACTTTGGGAGGTCAAGATGGGAGAACTGCTTGAGGCCAAGAGTTTGAGACCAGCCTGGACAATATAGTGAGACACTGTCTCTACAGAATATTTTTAAAATTAGCCAGGCGTGGTGGTATGTGCATGTAGCTCTGCTACTTGGGAGGGTGAGGTGGGAGGATTGTTTGAGCCCAGGAGTTTGAGGCTGCAGTGAGTCATGAGCCCAGGAGTTTGAGGCTGCAGTGAGTCATGATTGTACCACTGCATTCCAGCACGGGTGTCAGACCCTGACTCAAAAATAAATAAATAAATAAATAACTGTAATACCATTATTAAACCTTAAAAGTTAATCATTTCCTTAAAATGATGGTTTTTTGGGGTTTTTTTTGGTACAGGGTCTTGCTCTGTCTCCCAAGCTGGAGTGTAGTGACACAATCTCAGCTCACTGCAGCCTCAAACTCCTGGGTTCAAAAAGTCTCCCCAACTCCGCTTCCCGAGTAGCTGGGACTACAGATGCAGGTCTGGCTAACTTTTGTACTTCTTGTAGAGATGCGGTCTCACCATGTTGCCCTGGCTGGTCTTGAACTCCTGGGCTCAATCGATCCATTCGCCTTGGCCTCCCAAAGTGCTGGGATTACAGGTGTGAGCCACTGTGCCCGGCTAAAATGACTTTTAAGGAAAATTATTTTAAACCTGTTTCTCTATTTCATGGTAGGATAAAATAAAGGGCAGAGGCTATTGGTCCTTCTTCCTATCACTGGGGTGTGATCCCTTTTGGAAAAGACTGAATTAGGGCAGTTCTCTCTACACCCCAACAATATACTGAAATTTAATGTATAATAGGAGAACTGTCTGGGGGATTAAAAAATTAATTATTCTTAGCTCACACCTGTAATCTCAGGACTTTGAGAGGCTTGTGGATCACCTGAGGTTGGGAGTTCAAGACCACCCTGGCCAACATGGTGAAACTCGGTCTCTACTAAAAAAACAGAAATTAGCCAGGCATGGTGGCGGGCACCTGTAATCCCAGCTACTCTGGAGGCTGAGGCAGGAGAACTGCTTGAACCTGGGAGGCGGAGGTTGCAGTGAGCTGAGTTCGTACCACTGCACTCCAGCCTGGGTGACAGAGCGAGACTCCGCCTCAAAAAAAATTAATTTAAAAAATAATTATTATTTCCATTTATTCTCTTGGCAATCCCATTCTTTGTCAGAGCAACCCAGCAGCTACTTGGGTAGCCCATAGGCTCCCCTTGTAGTTTGGAGGCAAAGGAACTCTGGCAGCTCTGTTATCTCACCCCTACCTCGACTGCCCAATGAATGGCTGGAGCTGGCATGGAGAAGATACCAAGAAAGCAAAGCAAAAGCTCAAAGTAATCTCTAATGATAGTGAACACACTGAGTTAGTTCTCATAAGGCAGTGACTGCTGAAGACAAGAAGATTCAAGGACCTGAGCTTCCTGCTTGCAAGGAACAAACCAATGCTCGAAGACAAGAGCGCAGTCAGCGAAAACTTACCTTCTTCATGACAGAACAAAATGCACTGGGTTGAAAAATAAATGTTAGTTTTATGTAAGACGTTTTTGGTGTTTTTTACTTAAACATGGTTATTTAAAAATATCCAGTGTGTTCAGTATTTTTAAATGAAGGATCCATTGCTTAATGGCTAATTTTTATTATTTTTATGAAACTCATATTTCTTTTCTTTGATAGTATATTTAGCATACAGTTTGTGGGTCATATAAAATATTTTTCAATATTAGAGATTGGAGTAAAAACTATAAATCCCTGGATATATCCAATGTTGAGACAGGTAGTCTCAACACATTCACTGCTACTATGGAGTTATTTAAAGTAACAGTGCCATCATCCCATTTCATACAGAAGACTGTGAAAACTGATTTAAAACAAAACCCAGTTGCTGCAGGAGCAAGAGCGTAATTAACAGTGATGCAGATCATCAGACTAAAACATGACAAAAAGGCCATCCAAGAGGACAATAAAATTTCCAGGCCTCAGGTGAAATTAATCATATGAAGGCACAAAGGAAATCCAGAATATTGATCATGGCCTCAGATAACATCAACATTTTCTTTTTGAAAAATTATATAGGATAGATAATTTTGCATCTGCATGATACCTAAGAACCACCTAATCAGATTTATATAGCATACTATTCACTAGACTTTAGTCATAATAATTGTAAATATATGGAACTTTTGGAAGATACAGAATTATGTTAGATTTTTAAAAATTTATTTATTTATTTGTTTATTTATTTATTTATTTATTTTGAGACAGAGTCTTGTTCTGTCCCCCAGGCTGGAGTGTAATGGCACGATCTCGGCTCACTGCAACCTCCGCCTCCCGGGTTCAAGTGATTTTCCTGCCTCAGCCTCCCGAGTAGCTGGGATTACAGACACCCACCAGCTCACCTGGCTAATTTTTTGTATTTCCAGTAGAGACGGGGTTTCACCGTGTTAGCCAGGATGGTCTCGATCTCCTGACCGCGTGATCCACCCGCCTCGGCCTCCCAAAGTGCTGGAATTACAGGCGTGAGCCACCACGCCCGGCCAGATTTTTGAAGTCTTACATAAAGCATTATATTAGATTTTGAATTCTTATTAATATGATCTTAAGCCGTGACATATTTTGTTACAAGGTCCTACCCTCTGGGGAACTAAGAACATGACAGTGTATCAGACAGCAGGCAAGAGACTCACCCCGGTATCCAGCTGTATCCAGTGAACCTCATTGCTAGAGCTAATGCGGGACTGTTGGGTCTGCAGAGTGTATGGGAAGGAGCTGACCTGGAGCACCAGGAGGTTGAAAGCTTCCAGAACTTCTCTGCAATTAATGACCCTATCAGCTAGTCCATGACTGGGTTCGCCATGTGACAAAGAGCCTGAAATGACGCTGTAGAAAAATTGAAAGTCATATTAATACCTCATTTAACCAAGTAGATACAGAATCAGACCCTAACAAGGAGATACTGTTTTAGTTTTTATTTTTCTATCTCTTTTCAATTGGGATCAGAGTAGAAACAACCAAAATTTGACACGGAAGGGAAAAAATTTACATTCCCTCCTTTCAGACAGATTTCAGGAATATGTATTTTTCTTTTCCTTTTCAGTTTATTCCCAATATACCTCAAAGTGCAAACTCAGTTATTTAGGCCAGTGATATCTAAATCTGCAGTTGGGCCGGGCATGGTGGCTCACATCTGTAATCCCAGCACTTTGGGAGGCTAAGGCAGATAGACCACCTGAGGTCAGGAGTTCAAAACCAGCCTGGCCTACATGGTGAAACCCCATCTCTATTAAAAAAAAAAAAAATACAAAAAAAAATTAGCTGGGTGTGGTGGTGTGTGCCTACAATCCTAGCTACTTGGGAGGCTAAGGCAGGAGAATTGCTTGAACCAGGAGGAGGAGGTTGCGGTGAGCAGAAATCACGCCACTGCGCTCCAGCCTGGGCAACACAGGGTCAAGGAGCTATTCCTGCTCATAGAAGACTGCCAAGACCTGAACAGATGTGGGCAAAATTTCTTTTCCCGCTCTCTCTCTCCTTTCCTTCCTTTCTTTGAAATCTAACAAGTTCTACAAGATCTTATTTATACCTATGTATGGTTCTAGGTTTCAGATTGTGGAGGATTATCCAACACTTTCTGGCTTCTGAATAAGAGCTTTTGCAATTCTGACATTTCCCTACCACAAACCAAAAACTTCCAGATTCTTAACCTCAGCATCTCCTGGAGAAAAGAAAATCTATAAATGCTTGATGATGCCTGAAATTTCTCTCCCCATTACATGGTGAGGACAAACCATGATATGTAATACATGATGACTATCTGCCACTCCCTACCCCTGTCGATTTGCCTTTTAATCCATAGGAGCAAAGATGTCCCCTACCAGATAATTAGTATAATTTGATCTGGGAGCAAAAGTGGTTCCACATTTGACTCCTTTTTTTTTTTTTTTGAGATGGAGTCTCTCTCTGTTACCCAGGCTGGAGTGCAGTGGCATAATGTCCTCTCACTGCAACCTCTGCCTCCTGAGTTCAAGTGATTCTCCTGCTTCAGCCTCCCAAGTAGCTGGGATTACAGGCATGTGCCACCACGCCCGGCGAATTTTTTTGTATTTCTGGTACAGACGGGGTTTCACCATGTTGGCCAGGCTGGTCTTGAACTCCTGACCTCAAGTAATCCACTTGGCCTCTTAAAGTGCTGGGATTACAGGTGTGAGACACCGCACCCTGCCAACTTCTCTTTCATTAATAAGTTCATCCAGACCAGGCATGGTGGCTCACGCCTGTAATCCCAGCACTTTGGGAGGCCAAGGCGGGTGAATCACGAGGTCAGGAGTTCAAGACCAGCCTGGTCAAGATGGTGAAACCCCATCTCTACTAAAAATACAAAAATTAGCCAGATGTCTGGCGGGCACCTGTAATCCCAGCTATTTGGGAGGCTGAGGCACAGAACTGCCTGAACCTGGGAGGCGGAGGTTGCAGTGAGCCGAGATTGTGCCACTGCACTCCAGCCTGGGTGACAGAGCGAGACTCTATCTCAGTAATAATAATTTCATCCAGTAAATATGATACTCTCTTGTTTAAACTGGGGAACTGGGGAAGATTTCAGGTCATGAAAGTGCATCTCTACTGCTTTTAAAGGCAAGAGGGAAAAGAGAAGGGCAAAGAAGAGGAGAAATAGTGGGAGAGGAAGGAAGAGAAGCAAGGTCAAATGGAAAAGTGCTTTGGAGGCAGAGAGGGAAGCACATCACCCTTCTAGGAGCTCATTCATCCTAACTTCCTTATTGCTGTCCTTTCTCTGACAAAGCTGAGTTCTACCAAGCTCTTAAAATTTTTTCAGGAATCTTTAATTCATCCAGAGTGTAGTGATATAATTTGGCTCTGTTTCCCCACCCAAATCTCATCTTGTAGCTCCCATAATTCCCATGTGGTATGGGAGGGAGCCGGTGGGAGATGACTGAATTACGGGGACAGGTCTTTCCCATGCTGTTCTTGTGATAGCAAAAGTCTCATGAGATCTGATAGTATTTTAAGGGGGAGTTTCCCTGAATAAGCTGGCTGGAGAAATTTGCATAAGTAATGAGGAGCTGAATGTTAGTCCCCAAGACAATGGGGAAAAATGTCTCCAGGGCATGTCAGAGGTCTTCACGGCAGCCCCCCTCATCCACACACCTAGAGACCTGGGAAGGAAAAGTGGTTTTGTGGGCTGGGCCATGTGCTGTGTGCAGCCTAGGGACTTGGACTCCTGTGTCCCAGCTGCTCCAGCCATGACTAAAAGGGGCCAATGTACAGCTTGGGCTGTTGCTTCAGAGGGTGGAAGCCCCAAGCCTTGGCAGCTTCCACATGGTGTTGAGCCTGTGGGTGCACAGAAGTCAAGAACTGAGGTTTGGGAACCTCTGCCTAGATTTCAGATGTATGGAAATGCCTGGATGCCCAGGCAAAAGTTTGCTGCAGGGGCGGAGCCCTCATGGAGAACCTCTGCTAGGGCAGTGTGGAAGGGAAATGTGGGGTCAGACCCACCACACAGAGTTCCTACTGGGGCCTGTAGCCCCTTTGTTTTAGCCAATTTCTCCCATTTGGAATGGCTATATTTATCCAATGCCTGTACCCTCATTGTATCTAGGAAGAAACTAACTTGCTTTTGATTTTACAGGCTCATAGACAGAAGGGACTTGCCTTGTCTCAGATGAGACTTTGGACTTTTGAGTTAATGCTGAAAAGAGTTGAGACTTTGGGGGACTGTTGGGAAGCATAATTAGTTTTGAAATGTGAAGATATGAGATTTGGGAGGGGCCAGGGGTAGAAAGATATGGTTTGGCTGTGTATCTCCACCCAAATCTCATCTTGTAGCTCCCATAATTCCCACATGTTGTGGGAGGGACTCAGTAGGAGATGACTGAATTACGGGGCTTTCCCGTGCTGTTCTTGTGACAGTGAGTAAGTCTCATGAGATCTGATGATATTATCAGAGGTTTCTGCTTTTACATCTTCCTCATTCTCTCTTTGCCTGTTGCCATCCATGTAAAATGTGACTTGCTCCTCCTTGCCTTACGCCATGATTGTGACGCTTCCCCTGCTATGAGGAACTGTGAGTCCAATTAAACCTCTTTCTTTTGTAAATTTTCCCAGTCTCAGGTATGTCCTTATCAGCATCATGAAAATGGAACAACATATGTAGTTAACATAAAACCAACGTGAAATCGATGAGAAAAGCTGAGGAAACAAGAAAAGGGTAGGAAAAGGTTACCAGTAAGAAGATGGCAAACGTTAGGGTCCCTGGGCTTTGGAATCACCTTTAACACATTTTCTTTTCTTTTCTTTTTTTTTTTTTTTTTTTTGAGACGAAGTCTCACTCTGTCACCCAGACAGGAGTGCAGTGGTGTGATCTTGGCTCACTGCAACCTCCAGCGCCTGGGTTCAAACAATTCTCCTGCCTCAGCCTCCCAAGTAGCTGGGATTACAGGCATGTGCTGCCAGGCCTGGCTAATTTTTGTATTTTTAGTAGCATGGGGTTTCACCATGTTGGCCAGGCTGGTCTCAAACTCCTGACCTCAAGCGATCCACCCACCTCGGCCTCCCAAAGTGTTGGGATTACAGGCGTGAGCCACCACGCCTGGCCACATTTAACACATTTCATTAGGTAACAATTATTCCTGTAGAAGGAAGACTCCATTTGCTCACTCTGAATCAATCACCTCGTTAGTTCCACATGGGAGTTGTCATGAACTAGCACAAACAGTGTGTACGGGTTCTGTTTCACTCTCCTCATAAAAACTTCAAACTTGGTTTGAATCTCATTGTCTAGACGAACAACATATTTTTCTGCTCTCTGATGGGCTGTCCCATTTTCCTCCAGACCCAAGTCTACAAGGACACCTGCCAAGAAGAAAAAAATTAATCTTTTAACACACTTTTACACATATACATACACACAGGAGACAGACTTGAGTTCACTGTCAGCTGACACTGGGTACCAACTGTATGAAGAGACTTACAGAGCAGACACTTTTTCCTTTTTATGTTCCCCATCACAGTATGAGGAGGAAATACCAGATATCCTTTTCTTCATAACACTGCTCGTCACCTCCCATCCCTGACACAAATACAGGGAACATTCTGGTACATGAGATAAAAGCAGCTGAGTGTATGAGACCTTTGCTTCACTAAATTCTATTTGCATATAAAGTGCTGCTGCTAATGGCTTCAACAGGCCACCTGGAAAAAAATTAAGCTTTGGGCTACAGCTCTTGACCAAATTAATGTAAGCCTTCTTTACCCTAAATTTAGCAACAAAACATATACGAGAAAAGAAAAAACCAATATATTAATGTTCAAAGATACCACGTTAGACTGTGAGCTTTTTATGGTAGTGTTTTACTCATTTTTATACAGTGACCATCTTCCACAGTATTTAGAGCACTGGCAGACCTCAATGAATGTCGGATTTATGTACCAACTTAATAAACTGAACTGAATTAGTCATGATTGCTATATTATTCTCAATATGTTAGAAACTATGAAACTTTAATACTGTATCATTATCTCTATTTATAATAAAATTCTTTCTTTTTTTTTTTTTTGAGATGGAGTCTCGCTCTGTCACCCAGGCTGGAGTGCAGTGGCATGATCTCAGCTCACTGCAAGCTCTGCCTCCCAGGTTCACATCATTCTCCTACCTCAGCCTCCCCAGTAGCTGGGACTACAGGCGCCCGCCACCACGCCCAGTTAATTTTTTTGTATTTTTAGTAGAGATGGGGTTTCACCATGTTAGCCAGGATGGTCTCGATCTCCTGACCTCATGATCCGCCCACCTCGGCCTCCCAAAGTGCTGGGATTACAGGCGTGAGCCACTGCGCCCAGCCAATAAAATTACTTCTACACACATCTAAAGTAGTTCTAGGCACATAAAGCTGTTGTTGAGATAATTGATTAAAAGAGGAAATCTTCCTTTAAATAGAGACTTTTATGAATTACATTGACTTAATTTTATCTGTCTTTTCTTTTAATATAAATGCACCTCAATGAAGAATTACATGTAATTAATTAGCATCTAGATGCTGTAATACTAACAGGCCTAAATGGTATAACAGAAAAAAAATGTTTTACCATATGAAAAATTCCTTATACCAGAAAAGGTGGACAGAAAGGTAATTTTGCTTCCAAACACTGTTCGTTAGGAGCCTTTACTCACCGACTGTTTTCAATTCTCACCCAAATGTAGTCAAATTTTGTTGTGAATATTTCCAAAATCAATCAATCAAACATTTAATTTGGCAGATACTGTGATTTTTTTGAAAGTGGATTGTGGCCAGGTGTGGTGGCTTATGCCTGTAATCCCAGCACTGTGGGAGGCTAAGATGGGTGGATCACTTGAGGCCAGGAATTCCAGACCAGCCTGGGCAACATAATGAGACCTCATCTCTATAAAAAATACAAAAATTAGCTGGGTGTGGTGGCGCACGCCTGTAGTCCCAGCTACTCAGAAGGCTGAGGAGGAGAACTGCTTCAACCCAGGAGGCCGAGGTCGTGGTGTGCCGAGATCACACCACTGCACTTCGGCCTGGGCAATAGAGTGAGACCGTTTAAAAAAAACAAAAAAAAAAGAAACAAAACAGAGGAAAAAACTCATTCAACATTCGATAGCTATTTATTGATCATCTATCTACTACGTGCCATGCCAGTTACTGTGCTAGGTCTGGGGAAACAGAGGGGAACAGGAGTAAGATCTAAATCTCATGGAGCTTATGATGGAGAAGACAGAAAATTTTGATGAGTGTCGCGATGGAGACAAGGTACTATGGAGTAGGTAGAGGAAGCCAGCAGAGGCATCAGAGAAAGGACCTACTTAATCTCTAAAGTGTCTGTTTCCTTATCTGTAAAATAGGGAGTGCAGTACCAGTTACAAATTAGTCTGTATTTCAAGTTTATCCTTAGGAAATAAGCAGCATGAGTTAAGGCATCCTAAAAAGAAACGATTATAAATAATTCATAAGGAGGATAAAATATATTGTATTGAAAATTAAGAGTTTGCTGCCTTTCAAAACAAATGAAGTAAAGACCAGTTGTGGCTTTTTGGCTAAGATCAAGTGTAAAGATGACTGTATATCTTTGACAGGTCAATTGCATACATTCCCTGACTGGAAAAACAAAGTTGCAGAAATCTAAGAGGTTGTTTTCTTGACAATAACATGGTATATTAGTCTATAACTATGCAGGCTGCTGGCTCTCTCCTGAGCAGGCACATCAGAACTCCATAATTACTTAATTCACTGCTTCCATTTTTGTGCTTTTTTTCCTGTTTTTTTTTCTATGCATATTGTGCAGCCTGACTCACATTTTGTAATTGTAATTATATATATATATATATATTTGGCTTACAACTACAAAGTAAGAAACAAAACAAGAATAACACTATCATTGTTTACTAATATATCTGTGTAGAAAACACAAAATAATCTATGGATGAATCAATAAGAATTTAGTTGATGAATTCAAAATCAATTTACAAAGATCAGTTGCATTTCTGTACACAAGCAGTAGTTAGGAAGTGTACTTTAAAAAAAAAATTTACAGGACGTTAAAAAAATATTATGTATCGGCCAGGCGCGGTGGCTCATGCCTGTAATCCCAGCACTTTGGGAGACAGAGGCGGATGGATCATGAGGTCAGGAGATCGATACCATCCTGACTAACACGGTGAAACACCGTCTCTACTAAAAATTACACACAAAAAATTAGCCAGGTGTGGTGGTGGGCGCCTGTAGTCCCAGCTACTCAGGAGGCTGAGGCAGGAGAATGGTGTGAACCCGGGAAGCAGAGCTTACAGTGAGCTGAGACTGTGCCATTGCACTCCAGCCTGGGCGACAGAGCGAGACTCTGTGTAAAAAAAAAAAAAAAAAAAGAAAAAATATGTATATCTACCTATCTATATATATATATTATGTATCTAGGAATAAATCTTACAAAAGGTATGTAAGACCTTTATGGAGAAAATGATGAAACTATTAATTATGTTAAAAATGACCTAAATAGAGCTACATCATAAAATAAAGTTAAAATTGAATTTTCCTCAAACTTATCTAGAGATTCAAAGTAATTCCAATAAAAATTACCTTTTTTTTTTTTTTTTTTTAAGAGATGGGGGTCTCACTATGTTGCCCATGCTGGTCTCAAACTCCTGGCCTCAAGCAATCCTCCAGCTTTGGCCTCTCAAAGCACTGGCATTATAGGCATGATCCTGGCCCAACAGGTTTTTTTAAAAAAAATTTTACTTGAAAAAATGTTTTTAAAAATGTATATGGCCAAGCAAAGAACCAAAAAGAGTCAAGATAATTCTGAAGTAGAAAACATGGGAGAGGTTTGTCTCACTGGAAATTAAGAATTTCTTTGTTAATAAGACAGTGGTTTGGGCACAGAGGTAGGAGTTAGTAATTGTGTAATTATCAGAAAAAAATCAAAGACGTGAAGATATTGTAGACAATGAGAACTAGGTTTCTTCCTGTCAGAGAAAGAAGTTACAAATAACTCATATTTTTAAACACAGATTGGTAGATACAGAAATAAAGAGGTATATGTGTGCATTCATGGGTTAATACACATATACATGATTTCCTAGCTCTGTCTGCTGAGTGGGCTTAGGCACAACGACATCCTAGTAGCAATGGGCACACTTAACACCCAGATTTTGATTTCTAAATACCATTCTTCAGTAGAAGGAATCAGGTTTCTTGGAAAAAAGGTTAATCCCAGTGTTGAGGCAGAAAAATAAAAGTAAACCTAGAATGTCTTATGGTTTCAGAAAGCAAGAAAACAGTATGTGAAAATGGATGATAATATGTTAAAAAAAAAAAAAAAAAAAACACAAGAGCCTGCCCGAAGGAGCCTCCAATGGCCAATGCTGGAAAATTTGAGCAAAACAATAATGATCATCAGTATAGTGTTGGAAATAACCCACAGAATAAAATAAAAATGACCTGTATTTATAAATACATACATAAATGAGGAGGAACAGCTTTTCCTTACAGAATTTAATTAACAAACTCTTACTAGTAAATGTAGGGAAAAAATGACAGAAAATCATCATCTTGGAAATACCACAATAAACTGCAGGCAAGATCCACTAATGGATGCAAAAATTAGCAGCTGAAAGTTTGATGAAAACAGGATATTACCATTGCTCAAAATATTTCCACAAGATTTTAAATCAATTCCAAAGAAGAAACCAGTAACTTTACGATGCAGAAACTTGGCAGACATACCTTAATCAAGTGATCAAGGTTAACATCACCAACAATAGAACATCAACCTCATGTACTCCCTGACATGATGCAATCAGGACACAGTATCACTTTTATGGTTTTCTTGCCCAAAACTCAAAACTTCAATTAAATTGTGAGAAAACTCAAACATTCCCTACACAAAACAATTGATTAGTATTCACTTAAGGTCATGAAAAGCTAGGAAAGACTGAAGAAAAGTCATAGATCGGAGGAGATGAAAAGGACATAACTGAATGCATTGTGTGAACCTGGATTGGAACCTGGAACAGGAAAAACAACATGAAGAGAAAGATTGGGGAGATCTTCCATTAACAGTATCATTCTGGCATTGATTTCCTGCTCTGATAATTGTATTCTCTTAAAGTTGTTAACTTTAAGAGAAATTGAGTGAAGGGTTTAGCGAACTCTATGATTTTTTAACAGCTTTAGTGATTGATATAAGCCTCTATTCACATATAATTTACCCATTTATAGTGCATAATTCAATGGCTTTTAGTATATATTCATGGAGCTGGACAACAGTCACCACAATTTTAAAACATTTTCATCATCTCCTAAGGAAACTCCATATATTTAACCCCTCAATTCTTCCCTCAA